AACGCATGCCATGGAAAAGCTTTCCAAAAGAAACGGGGTTCGGTGAGGCGTCATCGTTCTCATTTCATTGAGATGTTATCGACTAGACTGCGGGCTCTCTCAAAATTGGGAGTTTGACCTGCCTCCGCTTTCCTGTCACCTGCAAACCACTGATGCATTAGACGCAACAAGACGGGAATCATTGACATCGCACAGTTGATGAAACGCCTGGCTTCCCCATTTTGCAGATTGTTTTGAGTTGACTTGAGATCAAATGAGCGTTCTTTGGAAAAATTGATGCCTTAGTCAGATGCTGGAGGCGAAAATGCAGTAGGCAAGACCGAGACCGAGGGGACCCTCGAGAAGAAGTCTTTGTAACTTCAAGTCTTGCGATCCTTTATCTAGGCGGCGCGATACCACTTGTATATTTGAGCGTGCGTCCATTCGATTCCCACTTTGACCTGGACAGCAATTCCACCTCTCCTTGATTCCAACAATTATAAGTCAGCGCCTTCAATGAAACAGTCCGGCTTCGGACCGAAGCTCTAAAGAGATGCGTCCCTTACTCCATGTGACGAAGGCGGTAGATCAGTCCCACGGGATCGTTGGTGACGACGACCTTCGACCCGGTGCAGAAGTGGTGGAGGGCCTCCGGCGGAAGGAAGCTCATCCAGCCCCACAGATCGTCCACGTGTACGGTATTGCGCACCGTCCCCAGCGTCCCCCGTGCGGATTGCTCGACGATCGTCTGGCACAGTCGGAACGTGAGCTGCGTAAGGTGGGTATTGAGGTCGAAGAACTTCCCTCCCAGCCTGAGAGGCGCAGCGGGAGAGGCGGTGGGCCTGCAGAAAGAAGCAGGCCGTGACGTCAGCATCTCGTCAGACTGGAAAAATTTGACTGATTTAAGTACGGCCTCTGATTCACATCTTAGTTACGTTACGGTGATTTCACGAACTGAGATCATAGAAGGAACTCGAGCACAGAACCGGGTTGTCTTCCGGCAGATCAGCAGAAGTTTCGTCACCGTTTCGCAAACCTCTGTTCTAATCCTCTTGGAGTAACAGAGAGGGATCTGCGAACATCTGTAACGGCTGATTGCATTGAGAACGCGGCCGATTGCGTTGCAAGATTTATAAGTATGGCGAATGAGATTCACAATTGCGCTGGATGCAGATTTTAGCTCACTTTTCGCAGAAACCGACTTTGATGTTTACTCCAAAAAGCTGACCTACAGGTTAAGCGAGCGCCTTCCAGACAACGAAGAGACGTACGGATCGATAACAAGCTTCGTATTTCTGGAAGTTTCGAATTGAGTACACGATCAGGCTGAAGCGATCCCAAGGGAAGTGGCCTTGCTAGAATTACTGGTCGCAAGCTTCCGCGAGACGACCCATGAAGCTATAGTCAATTGGATACGGTTTAATCAATAGATTCCTAGACAAACATTTTTCGGAACAATGCATCGTCGACATATTGACTGCTTAGATTGGAAGAACTCAGAGCTGCCCAAGTCTAGGAGATAACAGCTCTCGCCGGAATCAAACACCTCGATCCGAGTATGAAAGACGTTCCTAGTTAAAGCTCTATCTTTGAGCTGGAAGAGTCATAAGGTCAGACTGAATCCATGCGGGACTGAATATGACCTGAAGACTCCGGGTTTGAGAGGCTCAAAGTGTACTGCCTTTTGAAAACGTAAGTCACGCAACCGAACAGCAGAACGATATCAAACTTACTGCGGGGCGGGGAAGAGACACCGGGACATGCGCTCCACAGCCTGCGGCTCCGCAAACATGATTCTTTCCATCAAGAGGCGCCGCTTTGCCGGGTCCTGCAAAAGTCAAGAAGCAAGATGGAGGTTCTGCGTTCCAATTACCCTTGTTAGGATGACCTTAGCGCTTTGGGTTGCCTTTCTTTAGTGTGGAAACGTTTAGGTTCTGACTTCTGCGGGCAGGGGCCACATCATTTACGCGATTCAAGTGTCTCTGCAAGCATCGTTCTGTATGGAATCGAACAATGAAGTGCAGCTTGTGTGAGAGGACCATCTGCGCAAAAAATATAGCATTGGTTTTGCGGAAGTGGTTGCTGTAAGGAATTTATACTTTCATTCGATTCAGCAAAGTTGCAACCAATCGCGCTCGAACCAGGCAGAAGCACGAACTACCGATTGTGGAATCAGGAGGACAGGCTACCAGCTTATGGATATTACTTTCCTGCTAGTATTCAAAAGAAACATCGCTTCCATGTTGGATTGAGATGCGAATGCAGCTCTTCCGTTTTGATCCCGGTGTGTTTCACGAAGTCTCACGAGAACTCCTACTTGCACGTCGGAAGCGCACGAGTTTGAATCAACCTCCCATCCAAAACTCAAGAGGTACTCGAGGACCCTACCTTCCCAGCCGAGTGGTGATACATCATCTCGTGTATAACCCGCTCCGACATCTCGTCCATGCCCCGCTGTAGCAACTCGGAGGGGCTCAGCACTTCGTCGGCCGGGGGCGGAGGGGGAGGCGACGGAGAGCCCGCTGGCGGAGGGGGGTAGATTTCCGCGCCTGAAGTGCCCCCCACAGAGCTGCCAGCTGGCGATAGCGGATCTTGAGACGGGTTAGTTGCCGGAAAGGCCCCGTTCAATACCCGCTCTCGTGCGTCCGCCTGCGGCTTGAACGCCTCATACGGATCCTCCCCGCTAGAAACCTCGGTGACCGTCGCGCTGCCCCCTGTGGACCCCAGCCCGGCGACCCGGTCGTTCACGATCGCGTTCCGCTGAGACGCCCCCAAGTCCCCGGCAGCGCTTGCGAGGGACCCCGACTCGTGCAGGCTTCTGCTGACGTCAGCACACCCCGATTCTCCGAGTGAGTGTTGGCTCGGGTGCGGGTCCGTTTCGGACGCTGGCGTGTTCTCTTTGCCCCCGGAATTTCTCACCCCCGCCTCGGGTTCCTTTCCAGGGTTCTTCTCGTTCGGGTTTAATGATGCGAGTGGTTCGGCCGCCGTCCTGGGGATTGTGCCGCCCCCCTCGCCGGCCCCGTTTTGTCGCCCATTCTCCACCTGAACCCCTCCCGCAAGGTCTCGCTTCGTCCTCTTGCCCGCCTCCTGCGCCGGGCTGCTTCCGGAAGAACCGGAGCGCGCTCTGCTGACGTCAGCCGCCACGTCCGTGTCCATAGAATGCGCTGCAGCACCGGGATGCTGTTCCGCGGCTTCACCCTCCTCGTGCGTTTCAAACCGCCCCTGGTCTTCGCTGATACTTGGCAGGTGCTCCGGAATTTCTTGCTCAGTACAGTCCCCCGGGCACGAAGTGACTGGCGCGACCAGATCCAGGGCCTCTGCGTTCTCGTTCGTGGACGACGCGGCCGGCTCAAAATGCTCAATGGGGTAGTATTCCGGCTCTTGCGTGAGGGGCTCCGGTTGACGGTTCGAGACGGGAGACACTGAACAATCTGCCGAAGATGGAGCTACTTGTGCTTCCCGGGGGTCAATTTCTTCCCCGGTCTCGTTCTCTTCCGTTTGTTGACGACAGGGGTGGGGATGTTGCGGCGGCTCTGTGGGCGGGGGGTTGAGCTGGAAGATGACGGAAGGGCCTTGGAGCGCGAGGAGCTGGAATGAAGCAAGAGCAACCACAGGTGAGTCTACGAGTTTTGATGAGAACGTTCTCATCAAAATCGTTCGAACGAGAGGTACTAAATGTTTGACTGAGCCAAAGGTTAGGCTGGAGTCGTCCCCGGCTTCGGGGGCGAAATCGAAGAAAAAAATGTTTTTATTCTCGAGTGTCCATAACGGAGCGACTGAAATACCTTAACGTGAATGAGAAACCTTCGTGGAATACGACTACGATCTGGTAAAAGGCTTTTTGACGGCCCAGTGAAGCATAGCTGTCCAATACGGTGATTTCTATGTTTCGATCTGTCCGAAATCAGAACGAGAGCAGCACCGTTTCTGCAGTGTTCTCAAGCTTGACGTCTTTATGTGAACACGTTGAAACTACCTTGGACCTTGGAAATGTCAGCGTGATCTTCTTCAAGAACTTTGGCAGGTTCTTGGGCGCTTCCATCTTCATCAGGGCTTCCCAATTACACCTTCCAATCGTCTTCTTGCTCCTGCAAACGAAGCGTGTCAATATCTGATACTGAAGACAGCGCCAAACTTTGCTCATTAGGAAGGACGACTGTTGTAGGGTGTCAACTCCAATGAAAAGTCGGAGAAGCCTTGACCGAACAGAAAGGGTGTGATACAGACACCAGCTGACTCCCTTGGATCCTGTGAAGAGTTTGTCCCTGCGTACATGATTCGTGCTGAATCACTTTCGCAAGTGTAACTCTTTTTCTTCACAGTTTCAAGCTCTGCGAAATTTGAGGTCGCATATACACCCTAACTGAGAATCCAATAAGGAAGAACCAGGATTGCGGGGTGTAAATCCGATTCGCCATGCAAGTTCCGGGAACGAAGAGTTGCAAAAACGAAGAGTTGCAAATGATGCTGGTCCGAAACCCTGGTACGAGGGGAAGATTTGAAACTGTCCAAAACCACCGTGACTTAGCACATGCAGGTTCATAAAATCAAGGGATGCACTACGGCTGTTTTTAAACCTTGCTACAACATCATATAGCTGTACCGACATCAAAAGCATTTAGACCAACCTGTCACCAACTATCAAGGGTAACTGCAGCGCTGGTAGTCACCTGGTGGTTACGTGCGGGAAGCCCCAAAACTCTGGAAGTGGCTCCGCTGGGTTCAGCCCCTCCAGCAGGTCGGTAAGCTTTGTCGCACGCCTGTACGCCTTCTCGTACCGCCTGCCCGCGGTGTCGCTCATCGAGATGTTGAAAATGCACGCAGTCGCCTGGACAATCTCCATGCCGTGCTCAGAGATGTACAGGTTTTGTTGCTGGAACGGCTCCCCAAAGGCGACCTCGATCTGCGGGAAAAGCGAACCAAGTGTTCGGAAAAAAAAGGGAACGGCTGGAAGCAGTGACGTCACGATTGCTTTAAGTGATGCTTGATTTAGTTTCAAGCGGATGAGACGTAAAGTGGTCAGTGGATGGGGTGGAAAGGAGTCTGAAAAATGGGGGCTTGGAAATGAGCTGAGGAGGTTGCGAGATACAATTATGCAGTCTGTGGCGGAATCTGAATGAAGTAGAAAAGTCGGGAACAGATCCAAGGATAAGCAAGATCCCACGGGTTTAGTGGAGAACAAAACGAATTTGCCGATGGAGATGTACAATACCTCAAAGGCATGAGCAGACTCGAGTAGGAATGATTGAAACCTGACACAATTGTTGGACTGGGTGGTGGAAGAGAGTTCTGAAAGCAGACTACCAAAACAGGAAAATGGCAAACGGCCTAAGGACCCGTGGGAAGCTGTTGGAAGACATTTTCCAGAAAGTATTCGGAAAGGGACCGGAAGGCAGCTAGTGGACAAAGTAATAAAAGGACGCAACAAATGAGGGCAGGGGTCAGTATGTAAAGACCTCCACCGAGGTCTCAAAAAAACAAAATGGTCTTGAGAAAACACGAGCGCAGGTTCTTCTTACCATAACTTTGCACGCCGCTTCCCCATGCCCGTGATCGATTACTGGAAATGTACGCACCACCCAGTGTGGGGCGGCTGACGGGACCTGTGGCGTCTGGGGAATGTCTTTCACGCTCTCCATGCTGCATCGGAAAGGATGAAGATCACGTCAGCCACGTCATCCCGGAAAGATTGCTTCAGTCAAAATGGACGAGACAGACTGACAGAGCGGGGTCAAGGAGAATCGGTAATTTGGGGACCGGGGCCGGAGATGCTGATGGAAGGGCTGACGTGGCGGGGTTTAGTGGCGAAACCCTGGGCTACGCTTCTTTCGACCAATCATTGCTCGGTAGTCCAGGGTCAAAACCCTAAACCTCGCCACGTCAGCCCTTCCACCAGCATCTCCGGCCCGGTTCCCCAAATTACCGATTCTCCTTGACCCCGCTCTGACATCTCCCAATACAATCGCTGGAGTCGCCTTCGAAGCTAGGAGAGTTTTGACTCTGGGTGGAGAAGTATTGACGGTGACGTGTCAAAGCTCAGCCTAAATAACGGACGAGCCCATCAGGGCCGTCATGAGTGGAAGCCAGCTGCGTCACGAGCCGCAGAGGGCTGACAACTGGCACCATACAAAAACCGCTCCTCAATGTGAAAAGGAAATCAAGCAATAAAGCCTTTGTTGAGATTCCTGAGTACGCATACTCCTCTATAGTGCCAAATAGCTCAATCAGCCCAGTCAGTCTCTAGCGGCTCTCGAAATTGCAAAGAGGGCAATACATCCTGCTCCTCGCAGGGCGCAAGACCTCTGAAACGACGACCGACGATTTTCGCATCTCTAACACTGATATCGCTTCTAGATTTCCTTCTAAGTTTCAACATTTGCTACTCTAGTGCACTGCACTCAAAGTTCCTTAAGGAGGCTTTCGTCTAAATTGAGCGTCGAAAGGATAGCTAACCTGGGCAGAAACTGAGGGCGCACCATAGAGCAGCTATGTTGTTAGTAGATCGGCGGCAGCATCTTGAATGCGCGCGGCGAGTGACGACGTCCTGGAGAAGGTTTGAGATACGTTTGGTCAAGGTTGAACGCAAAAATTCGAATGGCCTCATCATTGGCTTCCTGAAAACTTGAGTACTTTGTAGCACGTCTTACGTACAAGAAAGTCAGACGATCGTCGTGATAACTGCGCCGGATCTGTAAGGAGAGAGGTTCAGTCATCCTCAAATCATGGTAAACCTGTCACCTAGAGTTGAAGAGGACATTTTAAGGAGCTCGAGAATTCCAAAACTAAATGTCTCCTAAACAAGGGGCGCGAAATGTTGATCCCAAACTGATTTTGAAAGTGAAACTGTGTCTTCTGGCCCTTCCAAGCGTCGAAACCGAATAGATCTTACATCAAAGGCAGAATTGAGGATAAAGCGAATCTCCAAGCATATCTCCGCTTTCTCTTCAGAGCACTTAGTTGCGACTGACCGTCACAGTAACATAGGAGCAGCACCAGAAAGACATCCTTTCGGCTCAGGCACTATATCAACACGGTACAAACTCGAAAGGTGTGAAAAAGCGAAACATGTGTCCTTCCGGGTGACATCCAGCTAGCAATCTCTTGCAGGAGGCCTCTTGGATCGGAAACAGAAGCGGATTCGCATGAGAAGCCACGGCGGGGCAGCATGTCCTTCCCATTCCTTTGGATCGGGTAGACTCCAAATATCTGAATAGACGAGTTCGATGATCCCACGTTGTTTCAAAGGATCACTCGTTCTAAGAAAGTCCGAGGTCGAAATTCAAAGACCTGTCAGTCCATCTGATCATGATCATACTGCCTGATGGAGTTCTGGCCTGTCTTTGACTTTCTTGTACACTTCCGAAGCTTCAATAGAAACTCGACTTTCCAATGGTTGAAATCAGAAGTCTATTTCCAGAGGAGACGACGGCTTGGCATGTTGCTTACCAGGATGATGAGCTGGGCGCATTCGCCCCAGAAGATTGGTCGTAGTTGGCAGGCACCCGCGGGCAGTAGAGGAAGCACGCGAATTTTTCCCGAAGAAAGTTGATGCGTTGATGTTCCGTGAAGATGATAAAACGGCAGAGACGAAGGCACCAGCAGGCTGCAAGTAAGGTCTCCATTAACGGCCTGCTCTGTTCGTGAAAACTCAATCATTCTGTGGAAGCTTTTCTCAGCAACCACGTCAGTCAGCTTCAAAGGTTCAGACCGATGCTATAAGGGCCTGATGAGATCTCAGAAGGAGTTCGGGTTCGAACTCGAGTAGAATTCAGGAGGGCGTTTGGAAGGATCAAGACTTCATCAGTTGACCTCGAGAATCCTAGTCCCCCGTCTTCTCAGAGGCAACGAGAATCAGAATCGAGCGTATCAATACGTGCACCATAAAGAGCACCAAATCGCAAACTGTAACGAAATCTGCCACCTCTTTCCCGGCCCGCTTTTCCAACAATGAGAAGCTTTCGTGAAACAGAACTTTGACAGATCCAGATTTCAGCATCTCTTCGTGGTAAGCTCAACGAAGTACGAAATAGTCGGCGCAACAAGATGAGTTTACAATCTCCAGGCTGCAAGATGTTTGACTAGCACCTCAAACCAACAATGCCAAGCGATACCGGAGTTCAGATGATTGAGCAAGGTCTTGAAGTCGCATGGGCTGAGATTGCTGACCTTGCAGAAGGGCTCGCACTGTACCGCAGGCCGTGCGTCGTTCAGTTGTTACACCTCCTTGCAGGGACCAGAAAATGGCAGGCTGCTGACGGAACTAGGCGATTGACTGTGGAGGAAGATGATGACCATCAGGGCCTGAAGTAGACGTCAAAAGTCTAGGCTTCAGGAGCTTGCAGAATAACATTAAAGCTCAGGCTGACCGGACGATACATGCGCCAGCATGTGCAGGCTCGTCGGAGGTGTTCTTGCCGGCTTTTGCTTAGGATGCTTTGAAGCAAAATCTCTTTGTCTCTTTGCGGAACTCTAAGCCCATCCCAAATCAGATAAAGGAAAGATGCAAAGATTATTACAGCAGGCCCCCCCTTGACACCTCATCGATCCACACATAGGGGTCGATAGGGCATGTAATGCACGTTCAAGATTCAAACAACCAACCCCTGAAGCAGGACCAGAGTCTGAATTGCCAACTCTTGCGCAAGCTGCTGCAGTTTGACCAACCGTATACTTGGCCTATACAGGTGTCCGTTTTTTATTTACTCAAAAGCGAGTCAGGAGTAAGAGAACCGCATCTTGGAGACGGAGGTTACGGAGGAGCGAGTTGCGTTGATAGGAAAGGGTTCGACGACACACCAGAACTAGAGGGAGGCCGCGTTGTCGGCAGGCGTGGCTCGTACACTGACGGCTCCAGCAGCAAACAGCAAGCACAGCGCGAGCAGATAGTGAGGCGACGAGAGCGGAACGCCGTCGGCAAGCAAGGAGATAGTGATGACGTCAGCAGCCTGCACAGAAGGAAGAGCTGATCAGCCTAGAGCCCGAAACAGTAGTGGGCGGAAGGAACTTCCTTCAAGGAATGCTCAGGAAGGGATGCTCAGGAAAGAAACTGCTCCTTCTTGAGTCGATTGTTACAAAGACCTGCCTCTGAGGAAGTTGACAGATGCAGTATGCTTCGTGATGCTCTCCGTATAAATGTCTCCGCTTTGCAGAGCGTAAAAGGACAACAATCTCCTGGTGGAAGAAAGTGGAACCACATAGGAAAGGAGCATAACTTGTTTACGTCAAAGTTTCTCAATCCTGCAGCAGATTTGGTCGACCTTCAAATCGTCGATCACAGCCTCTCAGGAGAAGACGGTTTTTGGGAGGAAAAGCACCACATGGCTCTCAGTCTGAATTCAGCTCGCTGTTTCTCATTCGATTGCCATCCAAAAAGACCTTAAACCCTGCGTGTGGTTGTCAAAGATGGCCAAAAGGCTCATTCTTACTTGCCCAAAGGCTACTTCTTCACCCGAAGCCCTTCTTCATAACGAGAACACTACAAAGGCACTGCTCAAAGAAACAAAACCCCTTGAAAACCCCTCAGGTCTGCTTTCAATAAGAGCCCTGCCTAGCGTATTCACACTCAAACTTCGAGCCTTATTCATGACTCTTTGCTTGACCACCAACCACAAGTCCCCAGAGAGGCAACGACGAGGCAATTGCAGAGACGATAAATGAGAGAGCCTCCCCCTGAAGCAGGAAGATGGCAGAAGCTGCATTGAAACGAGCACGTTTGTTTAGGCACATCAATCAGAGCTTTCAAAGAATCTTACCTGCCTTGTTTCTAGAACTTGGCCTCCTCAAATCGCACGCAATGCGGAGATGTCTCTCTGATTGTCCTTGCAAGACCAGACTTTCTCCTTCTCAGAAATGTCACGAACTTCTGAGCGCGCCTTGCCCGCGCCTTGCCAGATGCGTTTATCTCCGTCAAGCCCGTGTGTCCAGAGAGGAGGGATGCGAAGTACAGCCTTGCTTGTCTGAAGAACGCGGTGCTGCGGAATCATGAATCCAAGGACACTGCTTATTGAGCAAGGCTGATATCTGAGAGGCAATGCTGAACTTGAAAGAGGGCAGCGCTGAACTTGTTGCCAATGTTGTTGATGCTGAACGGTCTTTCTATAATCAGGAAGAGGAGGCTGCAGCTGGTTTTGATCAAGGATGCCGTCCTTGCATGGATCAAGCAGCAGCCGCAAATTGAGAAGCAATCAGGAGTTGCTCAGAACGATATACCAGAGTCTCGTTTGCTCTGCATGAGGTTGCCGCAGAGGAACCTTTGAATCTGGCTTCTCAACTAGCCGTTTCTCAAGGCGCGCAATCAGGGATCTAATGGCTCTGATCGCATTCGCTAAGGCTAGCCGTTGGCGGATTGCTTCATGCTTCAAGACAGATGCGAGACAAGCAACGCGGTCAACGCCTCGGAATATGCGGCAGCCGACATTGCATGGAGTGTACAGAGACGGCTTGAAAAGATCTTCGTCCATCTTCGCCCCAGAAATGCTGCCAGGCGGGCGCGTACGGCATGCAGAAGGCATGTGCCGCCCTCACGTAGCATGCAAGATGAGTCCTCTGGAAGTTGACATGTGAGGACATGCTTTGTCACTGTGCGTGAGTACGTCCGGCCACAGCGAGTGATCAGAGACGATCATGCGTGATATTCCGGACTGTGACTTACATATGTAACACGTCAATTCGGAGGACGTTTGCTCGGTGACCATGCCACTGGCAGGGTGACGAACCAGGCTCCATATAGCTCCATGCAGGTTGCCGGGCCAGGCGGCCCGGCAGCTCCGTCAATTGTCCGGAGCCCGATCGACTCTTGATTCAAACGCATGACGTACTAGTACGTCTGCACTTCCCCGTGCAGGACTTTCTGTACCAAATCACCTACTGTATTACATGGTTTTCAAAAGAGTCCATAGACTCTGTAGTCTCCGGACCTCCATAGTACAAGTCCAGATCGATCTTGACTAATTCCCTGCCAGCAGCCGGCTGGTATTACCGGGGTATTATCCTGGTGTCATGGTGTCAACGGTGCAAATTAGATAAATAAATGGGCTTCTGACGGACCTATTCTGAAGAATTATTACCTTCAGCTAGTGAAGCTAGCTGAGCGCGGGCTCATGCAGTGGTCTGATTGCCAAAGCGTCCCGTGACCAGGAAAGCTAGGTAGCGAAATAACCGTCAATTTATCATTCTACCCCGCGCGCGCTTCATTGAGCATTTGCACCGTCCGATCAGCGCCTCTAGCGGACCATCCACGGACAACTCTTCGGGCCCACATTGATGTCAGCTTGCTACATCTAGATTCTAGGTCCTAGCTAAGGTTTGCCAGCAGATGCGCATGAATGCTCAGGCGGTGAGGGTGCAGTGAGCTCTGCAGCCTGGAGTATTCTCTTCTCGCCTGTCTTTGAAGATACAAGATGGCCCGCGGGGGAGCTGGCAAGCGGCCCCACTCTCCCGAGAGCGACGGGGAGGGGGCAGCTGGGCGCCCAAGCGCAGCGTCTGCTTTCCCTGAAGAAGGCGTGTTTCCCGTCAGCGACCCTGCATTTCCGAAGAACCCCTTTATTGAGAGCCTTGAGCTGGATGATGAGAGCGATGACGGAGAGGACCTGGATAATTCATTTGCAGCAATCGCCCCCCATGTCGATATCATGTTCGACCCTCCCGCCAGGCGGCCAGCTATCGGCGTCAATCCCACTAATCGAGGCAATGCATCACCGATTACCGAGTCTGAGACTGAATCGGTGGGCGGCCAGGCAAGCACCGCTTGGAGCGGCGTAAAGGGTCCGATGCAAACAGATTTCGTAAGCGGCGGAGTGGGAGGGTTCGACGGGGGCGGACTTGCGTCGGGCGGCTCCAGGGGTCCTGTGACGACAGTGAATGATAAAGGAGTGCTGGTGATCAGGCAGAGCAGTGATGCAGGTACGCTGAACAGGGCTCCCGATTGCTCCCCTCTTCTCTAACAGTGGTTTGGGTGCGCTCTTGCAGCTTTGGCGTCAATCGAAAGTGCATTCCTCATATGCTTGTTGACGATGTAAGATCGGGCTTGCATTTTGAATCTATTCTCTTGGCTAGACCAATGACCGGGCTCACATTCGACAATGTTGCTGCTTCTGCACACACATCAGTTTCTCTCAGACGAGTCTACCGGAGCCAGTCAACCTTGTTGAAAGTCTCGAACGTGATGGATTGCTTGAAGGCTTTTGAACACGATGCCAAACATCAAGGTATGTCAAGTGTTTGTTAGAGACCTCAGGTTTCACCGGGAGCTTCGGTAAGCAATGTCGACCTTGCATGTTCACATTCATTGATCGAGTCACTGAATCTGATAGATCTCCCAGCTTGCTGCTCAGAGCAATCTCATGCAAGAAGGCCATCAAACGGGGATTGACGAGACTCTCCCTGACTTCTGCGACAGTTGTTTGCTTGACTGCTGAACCGCTTTAAGCAAAGTTTGTTCACGCATCCTAAAAAGAGAGTAATATTGAGCACCACACCTGTGACTCATCTAGAACTCCTTCCTTCTCCCCTTTCAAAGAAAGTGCAGGGCTTTGCGCAGCTACTCTCACAGGACTCTTTGTTTGCTAATGCTACTGGGCTATAAAGCAAGGTGCCACCGCCAGGCTCCATAGCGACCACAATTGTCATGCAGAGACCTGTAGCGAAGTCCCCCCAAAAGCGACCCTATGTGCCCCTATCCGAGGCAGGGAAGCAGGACGTTTAGAGCAAGGAAAGTTCTGAGCTGTTCACAGTTGAGCTTGTTCTGAGACTGCAACACGCATCTTCATGCAGGCAATGCTAGCGCCTCTCCTGCGGTAGGCGGTTTCCCGCAGCTCACAAAGGTGCGGACGAGGTGAGCCCTATGCAACCATGACTGTCTTTGCATTCACATGTGCAGAAGGTGCCAACTTTGGTGACGGGGGCAATGTATTGCAAGTTAATGAGGGGTCTACATGCGACCTCTGCAATCAAAGTCTAATAGAGGGAGTCTGTTTTCTGATCAGAGTTGGTTGAAGTATCCGAAGTTCCTGTTCTCTTGCACAGGTTGGTTACTGACCTAGCTGACCACTCATTTGACTCACAACATGGTTGAGAGAAAAGAGTCGCTGCTATCCAGTTGGCAAAAGCTGGTTCTGCTGACAAAGTTGACGCTTTTGCTTGAGCAGTCCCAGAAGGATTTGCCGTCAGCGTTTGCATTACAGATAACCTAGCGTTACTCCCTTTGAAAGTTCGCTCTTGTATCTTCAGGTTAACTGAGCTCCGGAGCGATAGAATGGGAAAAGCTTCAGATCTAAATAAGAAACACTGATTGCTAATGCCTATGTTCAGGCGAGAAGAAGGCCAGCCCCTTGCACGTGGGGTAAGCGACGCCGCCCGGGGTAGCAACCAATCAACGCCTGCTGTTGGGGCCGAGGGCATCTCCCCCACAAGCATGCAGTTTGCACCCGAGGCAGCAGACAAGTACAGAACGCCAAGGGAGGTAAGGGAACAGCCAAGGATGAAGTGATTCGGACTGTTTGATCTCTGTAGCTGGTTGGGATTTAGAGGGCTCGTAGAAGTCTTGGACGGCTCCTAAAGACTCGTTCACTGAATCAACACTTGAATACATGGAACCCCAATGAAACTTCTACCATCCCTCCACCGCTCAGCTTCTCTGGTCAAAAGACGAGGTCTGTGGCTCATGATCGGCCTACTTTCCGGCTCTATTTTATCAGTCCCCTCTGAGCAGCGGAAGGCTAGGAGGACGGAAGTGTGACTGTTCTTGAAGCACCAGATATATCCCGAGGAATACTTCAAAGCAGAGGTGAAAATGCGCGGAAGGAACATGTCGCATCCCGCAGGTACCCGAGGCTGTCTTCTCGCCAGTCGCGTCTGAGCTGCGGGAGGCTCAGGAAGACCGAATTACCGAGACCCCACACAGTTTGCTGTCTCCCGAAGGCCAGAGACTCGCGGCTGCATGGAGCGCTCAGGCGATCAGGGAAGGGGGGGCACAAGCGGCTGCGCCATGGTCTAGCATCTCCAATAGGTGAGGGGCTGCTGTACACGAAGAGTTATTAAAGCTGGATTGGGTAGAAAGAATGTCTGAGCGCATTGTCTGAGAGGGTCTGCGATTCGTCGGTGTTGCTGCCTTCTAACCGGAAGTGTCTGGTCTTTGAAACGGCGAGTGACTTAATGGCAGATGCGCCTGTCAGGTTTCAACTTGTAGCGACCTTAACCATCTTTTACCGTCCTTGCGCCTCTGAGGATGTTCCGAGCTCGCTCTTCTAGGACTCTTCACATTTGCAGGTCAACCGGAGAGTCCACGTCGAGCTTCAGAACCATCAGAATCTTGAAACTTCGTCGCAGCTCAATGGCCAGCCGTCTTGTGATGGACAAGGCCCGCACCAATGTTTGGTCGATGGCTGCTATAAGGAGTCTTCCAGACGTCTTTTTCTCGACAGATCAGACTATTGAAAGCTCTGATCGTCAGAAGCCTCAAGACGCGACAGATCGGGAACCCCGACTACTTTTGCCCGTGCAGTTCTCTGGTCAGCCGGCCAGTCCCTGAAGACGTCGGCACCGTTCTCTGCTACATCGTTCGCGAGAAAGACTCCTTATACCGCCTCTACACCCAGCAGGGCACGGGTCGGCCCGACCGGCTTCTCCTCATTGCGCGAGAACACAAACGCGCGGGCAAAACCGACTTTACCATCGCGTCCACATTGGCCGGCATAAAGAGCCGGGAACCGGAAGACGGGTTTGTGGGTACGGTTCAGGGGAACGTTATGGGAACCCGGTTTGCGTTGACCGGGGCTGGGGTTAGAGAGGATGAGACAGGGACGGTAGAAGAAAAGAGGCTGCTAGCGGTGACGAACTTCCAGGGGTCAGCGAAGAAGCTGAGTGGGGACTATCGGCGGATGACGGTTACGGTGCCGAAACCCGTGGTGGTTACTGCCAGCGACACATCTGCGGAGGCTCCGGTAAGTGCTTGTTTGGCATTGGCGAGCCTTATTTCACGGGTTTCCTTGTAGGATCATGTTTTCCAGTGTGGCAACAAATCTGAAGCTGAAGATTGCATGGTCCAGCTGCGCTGTGGATCTCTGTTACTCCATGGCGTCTAGTTCAAGTTGTCCGTTTGGCAAGGTTAGGGAAACCACTTCAGTCAGTAGACACAGCTTGGGTGGTTTGGAGCACGGAACGAGGAATCAGCGACTGAGAAATGAATCAAGCTCCTCGGAGATTGCCGTCACCTTTTGCATAAGAACCTGGTCAGCTGGGCGCGATGGAAGCTTATAAATGTTGCGCGTGAAGTTAGTTGTACGTTAAGGGTATCTTTCAGGGTAGCCCATACGACTAACGCGGCGTCCTTGAAGTTGCGCATTTGCATCAATGTCGTCTCAAATCTGGACATGTTGAAATCTTGATTGGTTTAGTTTCCAGATTCATTCTTTGGTAACCGCTACTTGTCCCCTCGCTTTCTCCTGAGCTTCTGTACTTCAGGAGAGCATCTCGCCCTCCCTAATACGGCGGCCTTTCAAAAGTGGGGGCCTTCAAAATCTGCTTTTCGACTCTTAAAACATCATGCTAAGTCCGTTGTGCGATTCTCTAACCAGGATGTCATCCACTTTTTTTCAGGTGGGCTCCCTCGCCCTACCCGACACGTGGGATGCGAAAGACGGCGTTGCCCAGACCGCCGTGCTGAACACCAAAGTCCCGTACGTGCGGCGCGTGAACGGCGTGACGCAGCATTACCTCCCGTACCACGGGCGGTGCCGGCTGCCGTCCGTCAAAAACTTCCAGCTCGTGTACGAAGACGACCAGGAGCATGTGGTGCTTATGTTTGGCAAGGACAGCAAGCACACCTACTGCATGGACTACAGGTGGGGCGACGACTTCGATTTATGCGCCAGTCTCTCGCTGTCGTAGTGGTCAGCAGATTGCTTGCATCGCCCAGTTCGTGGTTCGGGCTCGCAAGGAAAAGCACAGATTCTGACTATTGCTGATCATCCGGGATCTCCTGATGACTCACTCAAAAGGTGTATTGCGAGCATGAGTGGCTACTGTCTCCGATCTCTTTGGCCAGGGGAGATGCGTCGTCTGTGTTTCGATCTTGCAAAGCACTTTTGGACTTTGCAAGTTCCTTTCCATTCCATATATTGCGTGAAGTTGCTCTGATCCTCTTTGCGACCTCCTGCAGTTGGCCGCTTTGCGCGCATCAGGCGTTTGGGATCAGCCTTGCCTCCATCGCGACCAAGTTGTGCTACGCAATCTGACCGGGACTGTTGCATTGACTGATGGCACGGTGTCTACATGGAGCCGGGCACACACACTTGAAGACTGTTTACTGACCTTGTACTTCACTTCGTTTAAAAAGCCATTTGTAATACAGTGGCCACAATGTCTCTCTGTAGGCAAAGAGAGCGATGGGTAGCAAGGGGTTTACCAAAAAATGTTTATGATTGAAGCTGTTGAAAGCTTCAATTCATACAGCCGTCGCGTCTCTTCATGGACCGTCTCAGTGGTCTTGTCAAAGTATAATAGCATGTCTGTATTTCTGTCGCCGCATGGGAACCTGGTTGATTCTTCTGGTCTGTCACGAACTTTGGAGACTTGATCGCATTTGTCCGATCAACGTATGCAAATTATATCCCCCAACTTAGTATTGCCCCAAGTTTTACGCTGATGCTAATGATGCATATATGGAGGGTTTTTTGCTAGCTTTTGTTAGATTAGCAAAATCTTACGTTAAGATGGGCCGGTCTCGCCGGACCCGGAGTCGAGACGGTCGACTCCAATTCGACTCCCGTGGATTGCATTCAATATGTCAAATCGTTTGTCGAATCAATATCGTCAAATTGCCCTAGTGAGATCGGATCTCAAGGTTTGACTGATGCATGTGAATTCCGTGTAACAAGGTGATTTGAGGCCGGTTAGTATACATGCCTGTCAGAGTTAGTACGCGCCAATCGGCGCTTGTAGCAGATTTTGCTTCGGGACGTACGGTCGATCTCTGAGTCGGTAACCAATGAGTTCTAGCTTCAGCCATGCATCAGTGTAGAGGGGCAGCGTACGATGGTCACCCCGCGGGTACGCGTAAGTATACTCAGGCCACTTTCGAATTACGGAGTGCCCATGAAGAGGATCGACGTTTATATTGTCAAAGCATGAACTATTCTGGTCGTATAGATAGTAGCAACGTTGTTGACAAAACGGCGAATCTGACCCTCCCCTAACTCGGAGGGCGCAGAAGGTCAGAGTCATGTCGGTTGGGTCTGGTTTGAAAGTTCGTTTGCCGGAGTAGAGCTCAAACAAGCCGTAAGTACGTAGGTTCAACGACGATGTACACAATCCCAGCAAAACTTGGGGAGTTTCGGCACATAGTGTCAAACTTTCGTGCTCAGCCCCTGCTTAGATCTTGTATTTCCTCTCGATCCTGATCCGGGGTTTTCCTTTTCAGTACTTGTCCGATCTATATGATGGAAAGGTTTTGTGTTGATCTTCGCGCTCCTCTCCCATGTCCTCGTTTGTTGACTCATTGAATGAGTCGGTCAGGCTTTGCCGTCCTTTCGCGACAGTAAACGTTGCCCCCTACGCAGTGACGTCCGATATGTATGTCAGCAGCTGCGAGACGAAAGGATCCTTCCACATTCCTTTTTTTCTGCTCAATTCATTTTGCACTCTCGTCGTAATCTCTCCAATCAACCTGAACAGCGCTTTCTAACTAAGCATATCATGCTGACAAGAGGATCACCTGTTGAGTTCTGACCACGATTCAAAAGTCGACTACATGAGTCTCGAACTTTGTTTCCTCTCGTTCGCGCCTTTCCAAATGCGATCCAGCCCTTTCTCTAACCTTCTGTTGATTTGCAGATCACCGAAATAGTCTTGGCCTCTAAACACGACACGAGCCTGTACGGCTCTGACCAGGGGCTCGAGATGGCGCAGAGCGTCCTGCATGTTCACGCTGCCGGTCAACGTGAACCCAGGACGTGCTTGTTGCAAGGCGTACAAGCCGGCGACGAAATTGATGAAATACTTTGAAGGCTTTCTTCGACGACGAGGCCGGCTCAAAACTGCAGCAAGCATGGCGCTTCCCCAACGCTGAAGATACTGGTCTCGTTACGACCCCATCTGTTAAGTCAGACGAACGAGTACGTTCAGACCTGAGCCCTTTACTCCGGCAATAACTTTTCGGCAGGCGCGGCTGATTGCGTTCAAGAGCGGAGTTTGCCACGTAGAACTTGGCTCGATCCGCTCCGTTGATTGCTACGATTGCATGCATCTGACGTCAGATACTACTAGCTGGAGTTTTTACGATAAGAGCTGTGCTCAAAGGAGCGCCTCGGATGTAACCTAGAACTGAACACACGGTGTGAGCGCCATAAAGACAGCATGTATTCACCAGCGCAGTAAAATTCGAAACCCCTCAGCTTGTGGTGCTCTCTTTCGGGTACACGTTCTTCGAGCCCGCGGACACTGATCAATAGCGAACATGACCTTTTCATGGCCTTCGAGGAGAGCGTGAACCCTCGCAGGTGAGATTGCTGTCTGAAACATTGCTCAGATGATGCAGACAGACGCATTTCTTGCCTGGGTTTGCTGGCCCGACAGCATACGCGGCCGGCCGCGTCGATCAAAAAGGGGCGGGCTGGGCCGGGCCGGGGCGGCCCGACCGCCCGGGCGGCCGCGCGGCGCGTTGCCCCTCTGTCGGATCACCGTCATGCGCATGTACACGCACGGGCTTTTAAGAGAAGTGTCCATGACGCGGCCGCCGCAACCGGCTGCTAAACCTCTGCCGACGGCACTGAAAGAGCGCGCCAGCAATCTTTTGAAGCCAAAAAAGGGCTTCCGTCAATTCTGCATTTCTGAATTCGCCTGTCTTAGGCACTACTGAAAGCATCTCCTGTTTCTCTTCCACATTAACGGTTAAGGAAGGAGATCCTGCAAAGCCCTCTGTATGCAAGAAGGAGGTTTCTTCCCTCAGCAGGCTTGAATGAGAACAAACTAGTTCTATCTGGCCAGTGCGTGCAGGCAATTCAACGTAAGGCAGCTGCTAAGGTAAGCCGTCAGTAGACAAGCCTTAGAGGATTTCAAATCTGCTTGTCTCCGGATAAATAATCGTGTGTGATACGTGCCACATCTGGCATTCCTTCTTCACGAACAGAAATTTCAAATTTGAGGACAGAAGCGTAGTAGATAGAGCGGCTCCTGTCAGAGATACCAGGCCACAATCCCATTTGGAGACATGTGCATTGCTTTCAACATGCTGGTCGATCGCCGTGTTCCGTGCTCCGTTTTCTGTACGTTCCGAGCAAAGAGACTTCTACCCCAGAGTGAATTGCAGGTTATACTTGCTGAAAGGCTCGAACATCCTGTTAAAAGCAGATGAAGGAGGCACAATGACGATGCAGCCTTCGTAGAGCTTTGTATGCCAAGTCTCAGCACACGTTCACTGGTCAGGGCAATCTAAGCAATGGAGATGATCGAGAACAGAGCCTTGGATGAATGATGATCCTCTTTCCAAGAAAATGGCCAAACACAGACTGCTCGGAAGCATGAAGCACGTCAACAACCTGGCAACCAGAAGAAGTTCAGGTCTGCAGAAGAAAGCCCTAACCTTTTGAATCCATATATGTTAAATCCCCTTCCTCTTGATGCAGGTGTTGAAAATGACATCTGAACTGTCCTCCAGCAATATGCAATCCTAAGCAAGAAAGAGAGAATCTTCAGCAAAGCGAGAAAGGAGCACCTGGCACCATTTTGTGAGCCTGCACTTTCGGTGAGAGCGGCTGCGAAGACATTTTCGTCCGGAATAAATTTCAGTTGCGGGTTCTTTGGATTGTTAATCTAAGCAAGTCTCGTCAACTGTGGCTTCAATCATGAACGCACAACCTTGTACTTTTCTGCAGAAGTGCTCCAATTTTGGTTCTACAGATTGCTGTCTCAATCAAGCCAAAGACTTCCGTAATTTCTCGAGCAGGTTGAGCATCTGCTTTGTCAGCCTCTGACTGAGCCCGATTGCAAAACCATAACTGGCTACTTCTCGTGGATGCACAGTTTCAGCATTCACGTCCGAAGCCATCTTTGCATGAGACTTCCCAAGCGCAACTTCACCGCATTAACAGGAAAGCGCTTGACATGAATGCCTTACTCTCGATCCATCTCCTCATCTCCAAAGCTGTACTTGACGGGCATGCTGTGTGCAGCCTTTCGTTTGCATTTTCCCTTGATCTCTCACTGCTATAATACCTGAAGGTCCTTTTGCTGTCCCGCAGAAAGTCTGCAGCTGAGCAAGCCTGCAGCTCAAACCTGCTCCGAGCTTCACCTGGCGTCGCAAGTTACTGACAAATATTGCGCCCCCCCTTTTGCAAGCGAAGCTACGCTCATCTTCGACCGTAAGCTAAACACCGTTCTCCAAACAGCTCTCTCGCATTCTGTCGGTCCGCTTTATAATGTCACGGCAGTCGACCTCAAACCTATCAAGAAAACAGAAGAGGAGCTTCGTTATACAGTCTCTGAACTCAGGACGATTCATTAGAGGTGATCGGAGCTCTTCAATGCCGCAGTGGTGTTATTGGTGCTCTTAGGAGCCGTTGGCCGTACAAATAATTGGACCTTCTGTAGTTGTCTAGGCTTTCACAGTGGTACTCCAAACGCCCGCTCTCTGAATCGACAGTCTTTTTGACCGATTTTGATCAACATAAACCTTTCTGGAACCATTTTGATAGATATCCATGGCCATACTCCTGTCCTTAACCGCTGTAATCTCGTAGGTTGGAAAGCTTCAAGACTTCTCTGTTGTATAGAACAGATCTCAATGCGATGCGCTCCTTTCCTGGGGCCAGGCCGAAAGTGTTTTACGGGGTGATCACCTCTTTTTCAGCCGACCGCAGCGACAGAACACGCAATCTTTGGTTACCAGGCAGCAAACTTTGCAAAGCATAGAAAATCGGCTGATTGACTTTAGGTTTTGTTCCTTTCCAGCATGGATACTAAGCAGCAGCATGCACGTGCATCAAGTGACAACGCAGGCGCCATTGGCTGGGAAGAGGCAGCGGGCGAGCTCCCAGATAACGCCCTTTGGCGCAAAGAGGAGGTGAGACATCGTATTATGCTCCTTTCTTTGACCCTTAGTATCCGATAAGTGCACTTAGACGCTGCCGTCATCATGGTTGTTCGGTTCACTCTTTGGCGGATCTGGAAAATGTTGTTTGGGATGTCAGCTGGCTCGATTTTTATATTCGTCAAAGCCAGCCAGAGTGCTGTAAAGACTTACACAAGGCTTTTCAATAGCTCGACTTTAGAGACACCTTCTTTTTATCAGGGTGATGCCTAAAGCTTTCAGTATGATTTTCAACTCCTCAAGAAACACTCCGACACAAATACAATAGGTTCTCCGGTCTCTTCCGACGAACTTCAGCTCCTGTTCTCCGTCCCGAATGTCTTCCTTGCCTTCGTCCTTTCCTTCTCTTCCGTGGATCCTTGTAAGCTGGCTGCTGTTGAAAGCGTCTTCTTTTATTGCGGGATCTCCTAAATTGACTCGTATTCGTTAAACGCCGGTTTTGCATTCTCCATTCTTTTCGGGTACAACCTCATTCCTCGTCTCCAAAGAGCAAAAGATCTGTAAGCAAAAATGAACCTTAAGCCCTCAGTTGAAACGTGCTGTCCGCTTTCTCGCGCTCTCTCTCACATCCAAAGTCCCGGAACACACTATACAATTGCCGTTCGATTCTACGCCTTCCCATCATGCAGATCGACCAGTATTTCCGTAGCATCTTCCCCTCGAAAAGTCTTCAAACGACCAGGTTCTTCGTTATCTGCTTTTCCAGAGCATCAAAGGAGCGGTTCCTGCTCCTCCCTCCCAGCCGGCCCGCCTTCCTAAGCCCTCCGAGTCCAGCAACTCCTCGAACTCTGTCGCCCCGAAAAACTCCCAGGATAAGACCGACGGCCTCCCGACCGGCTTTTCCCCCACGTCAAGCGAACACACCCCTCGAAGCACAGCCCCCGAGCAAAAGCCCCACTCGACCACGGAAGTCTGGCAGCCAAACCACTGGATTCAGTCGGCAGCAGCATCGACTGTGAGAAAGCCTGCCCCCGGAGAACTCCCGGAACCCCAAGCAGTGTCTGCCACTGTCCTTTCGGACGGGTCTGACGAGGTCGGTCACGATGACGTCGGAGCCGAAGGGACGTCTCTCTCGCCTGCCAAAACGAGCGACAGCGGAGCCGGGCAGGGCGACCAGGACTGGGCGAGAAATCTCCCTCCGCACCTTCTGGCATTTCACCGCGAGATTGAGGAGCTGAAAGGGCCCGAACACGCAGAGACGCGAAGCCGCCTCGGTATGAAGCTACTGCGCCGGTATCTGGACTACGTGGTGGGACCGTTAAGCACAAATTGTAAGTCTCACTCGTTGAATGGCCACCAGATTGCAAGTCGCAGGACATGAGCATTGCTATTTTCTCGAATGGCCGCACAGTACATGTAATCTCTTTGGCACTCTTACTGTGGCGGAAAGGAAAGATTGAACCTCGCTGGCAGAGACAAGTATACTCTCTGCTCCTCGTGAACGTGATAGTTTAACCACAATAGAAACAAGAGAGAAGGAGGAGGACGTAGCACTTGAATGTTGCTCAGTCCCTATTTGACTTAGGAGGGAAGTTACTCCTGCGTGCCAAATCTACCCTGACGATGAAGGATGAGAAACAAAGCTTCTCATTTGCCGCCTTCTCTGTGCTCGTAAAGATTCACGTTTGCATATAATCGAGAATAGTAATTGACGAGTTGGTGAAGGACTGACCTTCTGATGGCATCAGAAATCACATTTGAACGGACCGTACGCCACCTATTGATCCACAAGCGGCTAAGTGGAGGCTCTCTCCGTCTTTCCACAGGACCGCAGGACACAGCTTGAGTTCATGATCAAGGCCTACGAGTTCGAACCTCTTGTACTGGAGACGCTGCACAAGCTCTTGTCTGAGTGCCCGTAAGTCTTCCGCACTGTCCGTTCCTACCGGCTTGCTCCTGAGTACCTGGACGGTCGGCTTGACATAATCTGGCACGAATGTTTTACTTCACTTGTTGGGGGCTGTTGATCAACCGTCCTCCAGACATTTCGAAAACTTGGAACCTCTGATCCGTCAAAAGGGAAGTGGTGTCAAAAAGTTTTGGAGCATCCATAGAGACCCGAGGTGAATGGAAGCGTCGTAGCGCTCTCGAATAGTAATGTTTGTCACGCTCCTTCCCGAGCACTAAGTGAACGTCTCTAGCGCCCGGCCTGATGCATCATAAAGTTGTTCAGCCCGTTGCTTCGGCTCGTGAGAGTTGCTCAAGGACCCTGGAGACTGAGAAGAAGACTTTCTTATGAAACTTTTGTTTGCCAGAGGGCGTCGAAGCGCATGTTTTCCTCAGCGACCGTACACCCCCCAAAAAGTCGCCCAAGAAATCCAACCAACGTCTGGTCTCTGGGATATCGACCGGTCCGTCGCATTTTGCAATCTTGGGCAGGATCCACGTAGAGGACAGGCGTCCCCTAAAACTTGGCGGTGCGCTTTTTTTGGGCAGCCGATGACGTCATCTTACCTCCTCCCGAATTGCTGCGTTTGCCTCCGGGTTCACATACCTCCGAGACTTTACGGTTTTGCTGAACTTCCTTCTGGAGCCAGATCTTGCGTCCGAAAACGGGCCGCAAACGCCCTCCGAATGTTAAAATGCTTGACCGAAACGGTGACGCCAGCTGATTCCGTCAATTTGCGCGTCTTCCCGTTCACTCAAGTTGCTGACAGAGCCGCCCCCAACTCTTGCAGCCCCACCCCAACCCCCGCCGCGCGTTTCAAGCCCGGAGGCGACCTCAGCACTGTCGCGTCCACTGTCGAGAGCTTCATCTTTGGCATAGCGCGGACTCTCTGTGAAGGACGAGAGAAGGGCGCATTCAACCTGCTCCAATGCGACCAAGGGCTGTGCGACTGGCTCCTCAAGGGGTGGAAGGGCCGGCTTCCGCCGCCAGTCGTTGCCGCCTTCTCCGAGTCGAGCCCGGAAGAGATTACCGACGACGCTGCGGGCCTGCTCGTTGCCCTCTACCACATGAGGTGAGTGACGGCCAGCAATTTACAGTTAGATGCTAATCGAGTTTGTTGCGAGGCGTGTATAACTTGACGGTTCTGTCGATTTGCGAGATCCCGACATATTAACGGTTAACATTGGACTGGTAATCTTTTTAGTCTCTAGAAACGACACTTCCGGTAAGTAGATAGCAACGCCTGTTCTCAACCTTTTGCTGTGAGGTCCCAAAATCACGGTCGGACAAGTCAAGTCACCTCGGTGCTTCGTTTGGACACCAATTACAGCTCGCTCGCAGACATCATTTGATTCCTCTGAAGCACTTTCTACCTCTTTTTTGAGAACGCGTCCTCGAAGCGCCGTTCCAATGGGTCTGCAGGCTCTCCGCTTGTTGAACTTCTCGTGACACACTCACAATAGGACACTAGAATCCTCAGTATTTTCACATCAGGTCGGTTGCGCTGCCACCACCCAACAACTTTATAACCCCCGTTGAACTTCAAAATGCAAAGAGAATCTTTTCTTCCCGCAGCGTTCATGCTCGGAGCCACCCCTGCCTGCGCATCCAAGGCGACGACTACTGCCTCAGCGCGGCACTCTTCGCGTGGCGCGAGTGGGGCAGCGACCTGCTAATATTCCTGCTAAACACCTTCTATTACGCAATCGACCATCCCCCCACCCTCCTCCACTCCAAGTGCACGCCGCTCGGCAACGACCCGTCGGTCTCCGCTTCGTTCCACGGGCAACTGTGGGATGCAAAGTTGACCGGGGAACTGCAACAGCTTCTGTGGATCCTGCGCGCGCTGTCCCTGAAGCAGAGCGCGGCACGCGCCTCGTAGACATGAGAGTATCTGGCCAAGATTTCGTTGAGCTTGAACAAACCGGTGGTGTGAAGTCGTAGAAGCTCAAAGATCAGGTTTGGATCCTTTGGAATGTTAGCATTCATAAGCGTGACAGTCTGAGAATTTTGCTTATTGCCTAAGTTGATTTGTGCTATTGGCAGTAGACGGACTGCAGACCCAGGATTGATGAGCTAGGAACGAATTGCTGGACATCGCAGTACATCCTCATCAGGGAGTTGTTCTTAGCTTCAAGTGTGTGCATGTGAAATAGATTGACGACACCATTGAGTGTTAATAACGTGGCCATAAATTAGAGTGCAACTCTTAACAGGACTTCCCATGCACCACGAGCACATGTATCGAGGCCGGAATGATATTATGGTTCGCCCTGATTCCGTCGACAAGAAGATGCCCCACAAGCGGGAAATTCACTAGCTGCTTTGGGCGATAAGGTATGCAGACCTTAGCCCATGAGATTTTCGATTATAGACATCTTAGTACCATGGAAGCATTCCAACAGAGGCCAGGCGCAACACCCGCATGGCGTTGAACAGGGATGTCCCCATACCCAGGCTAACAGGACTTGATCAAAGACATCCGTATTTCCTAGGCTGAGAGCTCCTCTCTTTCTCTTCCCCTTCGCCCCGGGCCGGGGTGGTGGGGTTTAAGGGCGAAGGAGCGACAATTATCTAGACAAACCAGAGTTTCTCAGCACAAGAGATGTTTTGTGCTCTGAATAATTAAGCGAGATTGGCGCATCTCGTGTGCCCAAGGTCGTGCTGATAGCCACTCGGGCCACGGAGCTCGACATCGTTTTAGTTCCGTCGCCAAAAAGCTGAGAGTGACTGACTTGACCGACCACCAAATCATGCTTTCAACCCCTGCGATGCTAGTAGGGACCGACACGAGACACGGAAATGAGGACTCCTCGCGGATCACATTAATGGTAAGGTGAACGTTTTGGAAGACCTCGGTCAAAATGCAGTGTCGATCTAAGTTAGAGCTGACAACGTTCCTCGACGTCGCTCTTCAAAAGAATATAGACTCGATTTTCAACAGCCTTTAGATCTTCTAAACACTCCTCGGAACAAGCACGTAGCTTTTGGCGCAGCACTGGTATAGGGTGCGCGCAACACGCTAAGGAACACGTCGCTGGCAGGACACGTCGCTCGGACGTCACGTGCAAAGCTGTTCGCATACGCACTTGGATCTGTCGCAGTGTTCAAGCTGGCCAGCAATAATATGGCCCCCGACAAACTTGTTCGGGCGCAGTACTCACATATTGCAGATCCTCCTCCACCGCAACATCTGGGGCAAGTTTGGCCTCATACTTGGAAGCACTGCCGTCTTGGGAGCACTGCATGCGTTTACCCCATGTGGCTCGCAGCAACATCTAAAAAACGGGGCTGCCCGTCAATGCGAAATTGGCCCACGTGGCTATTGCACATTGAATTTGGCCGGGCATCTGGTCGCCATGTGGAACGTGTCCCACAACATTCATCTCAAGGGCGGCCTTGTAAATGGTGCAGTAGGGAAACAAAAAGTAAAACAAGACTAATTTCATGTTTGGTCCCTCGTTCGGCTATTGACCCGCCAACATGGCCTGGTCCCACGCCGGCTGTAATAGCAGACTCTGAGCCGATCCCCAGATTCCCAGCTAGCAGCTAGTGCTTGCATACCTACGCCAAATGTACTGCCAGTCACAACAGATTATGCAAAAGCTAAGGACATTGAAGCTTCATAGACATGGACGCGAGTATAATCTGGATTGTACTGCGATACGTCCTCAATCGCTCGCGACAGTGTCAATCTGATCAGGGTCATCGGCACAGCCCGGCCCCAGCCCGGCCTGCCCCTGCCGTGCCCGGGCCCAGCTGCCCATGCCGCCTTCTAAACATTTAGGGACGTCTGAGGGACGTCACGGTTATTACTAAGCGGGTAGTTGCGGCCGGTACCAAGGTGGTCTGGCACAGTACTGATCTCGCGATATATGGCTCTCCTCCGCCTCCAGGACCACAGTGCCAAGAAAACAAATAGGAAGACGTAGGACCTAGGTATGGTAGGTACTGGCAGGTTATAACTGGCACTGCACAGGTAATTCATATTACAAGAACCAGGTAGGGACTGCAGCTCTGTTGACAAAATAGACAAAATCGACAAAGCTCGACAAGGAATGGGAATGCATCCGAGCCATAATGCATGATCAATCTTGTCTCTCGATTTGAAGTTACGAGAAACCGTATCCGCAATTATCCTGACCCCTAGGAACTTCAGGTTCATTTAGCATCATGTGTGTGTGTGTTGGGATCTTGGGAGCATGTGGAGACACTCTGGACACTGATCAGATAATCACGAGTGACATAGGTTTTGATTGAAATCCCCGCACTGTGGGCACTAAGAGACCTAGTGTCCCATCTGGAAGGTATAATCAGCTTACTCCTAAGCTCATTAGTACACATACATCATAGATTGTCAAAGATCTAATCAATAATACAAACCCAGGCTGCTTTGGTCCCGTTTGTTTCTGTTTCTCCGTTGCTCAGTCGATCAGTCCTTGCAGGGATCGGTCCCGTGACTACTGCCTTTGGAGCTGACTCGGAGGTCGTGACTGGGTGCCCGGTTGACGGTCCTATTATGAGATTGCGACTTAATGCATGATGGCAATCTGACGTACATTTTCACCTGTTGTAAGGTTTTTAAATGTGCCAACTGGCAATCGACCTCAGATTCCTCAACCAATCAGATCGAACGAGCCGTACTCTAGTCTCTGTCATATGATCGCATGCTGACGTTGCAATTGGCGGGATTTCATGGGTGCATGCTCGGGAGTCGGAACTTAAAGATTGTATGAACATCCGGGACAGGATTCTGCCCCGGGGGGCATCTCAGACCCGGGGCTCCACCCTGGGGCCAGTAGACTGCTTTTGCAGGTCGCAGGTTTTGGTCGGGGCAAGCAGTCCCTGGGGTCTGCTCTTACCCGGGCTACTGCAAAACAGCTTCGGGGATACTCTGCGCCGGTCATTCGGCGCCCCGATCGCATCTGCGCGGCTCGGAAGTCGGAACCCGTCACGTTCCGTTCAGGCTGTACCTCGTGAATCTGACGCAAAACCGGTACTAGACGTGAGTCAGCCCGAAGAGTGCACCTACGACAGAACAAGCTATGGCCACGGAAGTGCCCGGGGGTCGGGTACAGATTCAGGGGTTTGCAGTGTGTCTTCAATAATTGGGCTGCAAACTGCAGAGCCAGTGCTTCTTCCATGGTTTAGGTCTCTTTAGTTTCGGCTTCCCCCGGGCAAATTGCTCAACATGTACTTGAGAATCGAGGCTCTCAATCCGGTGAGTCCGAAACCGGTTTGCCGCTCTACAGGATTACGGCTGCCGGCCGCGAATGTAGGTAATATTTAACACGCATCGTCACGCAAGCCCTTGCCAAGCCCTGCCATGAGCCAATGCCAAGCCTTCAAGGCTGGATCATTGCATGTATGCCAGCGCCCGGTTCCCAGCTTCAAGGGTTGCAATCATCATTAGCCTTGATGATTGCAACCCACTAGCCGCCGCCGCCAACCGGGCTGCCATCCTTGGGCGTACACATAATTTGCCCTTTTTAAGGTAGCTACACAGGTAGCTGAAATAATTTACCGTATGCATGGGCTGCACCACTTTGGGCCCCCCAGAGCTTTTCAATGTACAGATGATACCGTACGTGCACCGGCCGTCTGGCGACGGCGGGGGCTTGCCTCTTCCGACTATTCGAACGGCTGGAAATCAGCACACAGAGACGACCGGGGCCCTGCATGCTCTAGTGCGGGCGCGCCGGACGGCCAAGTCATGCTTATTCCGGGGGGCAAGTACACAGGTTTCCTCCCGAGCCTCGAAGTTTCGACGTCGGTACCCTTCCATGCACGAACTTCGACGGCGAAGCTGTCGAAGCACACGTGCTTATGACTGAGCGGCGACCAAATTCGTCGCATAAACAAACGGAACCGCACGATAAATCATCGACGGACGACCCCAAACGCCCAGCCAGGGCTCTAGCGCAGGCAGCACCCAACCCAATAATTGCCAACCGCATTTAAAACCAACAAATGCTGGTCGCCCAACACAACTGCACGTCGAAATACTGGCAACGCTCGCTTGCACTAAGAGCCGCTTGCACTAAGATACGTAGCTCCCGGGCACCCAAACTAAAACCCTAACCAAACAAACAACGCGCTCCGCACCCGTACCCACCCTAACCCCCAGACTAACCCCACCCGTCCCCCGGGTGCCTATCTTAGTGCAAGCTGCTCTTAGTGCAAGCTAGCGTTGCCGGAGTCACGTCGAACATAAATTTGGCGACAGCTAACCACAACGCCCCACAAAGCATGTCGCCAGAATAACAAGCACGTCTCGACGCGAAGTCGAGCATCTACGCCGCTCCGCGCGCCAGTCTGCCATAAGTCTGACAATTTATATGGGAGGTATTCTCTTCTTTCCTGTACGTTTTATCGTCGAATGTCGGCCAATCGAGCAAGGTCGAAGCGCCTCGATCGCCAGGGCCGCGTCGCGGCGTCGTACAGTGCCGAAATCGGCGTCCCCTATGTCTCCCCTCTTCCGGAGGAAGAGGCAAGCCAATATACCTAGAACTTGAAGGGACTCGGGGAGTGCTTGAATTCTCACAAAAGACAAGGATGCCTCTGGCGCCAAGTAGGTACGTCCACAGCATGGATCCAGACAAAACAAGTCATGTACGACAGGTGCTGAATACCAGCCTGCTGCATGGGTGATCAAGAGCTACGTACCTAGCTAGCTCTGACCACTGGCACCAACTTATGCAAACTTTTCCAACGGCAGGGATGAGGTTATCAGTCGAGTAAGACAACCGCAGAACCTTAGCATTTACACACGGGCCTGCTGAGACCAAACACTCGCAGCTGCTGGCAGGGACGGATTGCACTTACGCCTGGAAGCAACGCAACCCAGGACGTAGCTGTGACTGCCTGCCATTGTTCACCAGCAATGCAGTCTTCCTGCAATCCTCTACATGTAGCTGTGTAGTTGATTGCTTGGTAAGAAGTCTGACAGCGGGCCTCCAGATTAGTCCCAGCTGAGGTCTGCTTCCACAACGCAATTTCAGCTCAACTGGTCGCTGTGTGCAGAGGAGACGTGAGTTTTCCTATGACCCCATTCTCTGCTCGGGCCACAGAGTTGAACTTACTCTTTCAACTAGGAACCCAAAAGTCCATTTGTGAACCAAGAGGAGGCGGGGCAGTCTACCAAAACTGCTACAGCAGTGTGCAGAGCTCCAATCGCTGCTGCAAGGGTAAGACCTTTTACATGGATCTGCTATATCAGTTCTGCTAGATCTGCTTTCAAGAAGCAGTGCATGCATGCATTACGTCATTTATCAATGCAAACTGGCAAAGTGGGCATGCTCCCAGTTCCAGAAGGTCCGTAGACAATCTCAGTCAAATTTCAGAAAGCCTCGAGAGATGGGATGGATGCAGACTGTCACCAAAGGTTTCAGAAGTCTTGTGACCAGATTGGATGTTCAAATGTGAAGGAATGCTTGGGATCTACCATTCATGGGATTGCAGTCATGGTCGAATTGGACTCTCAGCATTGCGTTCCATCTGCCAAGGAGTTAGGACCGCCAGTTACTCCCATAATAGGTGTACAGTTGCCTTCAACGTGCTTAGGACTCATATGCATTGCGGTTGAACATCCAATAACAAACATGTAGACCTGGAAGGTTTGTGGCACCCTACTCCTTCAAGGCAGCTCATATGACCACATTCAAAGATGAGATCTAGTTAATGTCCTTATGCATAGAGTTGCGCTCAGTCTGCTCCCAGCTGCAACCAGCTTCTTCTCATAAGCATCTTCTTGTTTAGTCACAAATGGCCTCAGCATTCAAGCTACTCACAAGCGCAGCCGCGCAGAATGCAGTCTTTTCCACTCCTTTCCGGGGCACTCCCCCGTATCTATCAGGCTTCTTCTCACCTTGTCACCGTCAGCATACAGTCTACTCATGAGCTCATGTGCCAACGGTTGGGCGTAATCTAGCCTTTTCCTCTCCTTCCAGGGGCACTCCCCCGCTTGAGTTCACGCACAACTGCTGCAACTGAGAAGCTCTTGGGTGTTCTGCAATCCAGGCTGTCACTAAGCAAGCAGTGACAGTTCAAAACAGCATTTGTGCTTGGAAATAGCTTCCATCATGCCGATGACAAGCAGTTCCTCTGGCAGCTCAACAGAGTCTTGGGACTTTTCAACCACTAGCAGTGAGGACCTTGAGGACCTGCAGCTGGTTGTAGAGCCAGACGTGCTCGATCGCTGCGGGAAGAGGATCAAGTGCGCCTTCTTCTCACACAGTCTGCAGGTAGGAAATACATTGAGTGTGAATATCAATGTCTCCTCTGCTCGCTGTGTGTGTGGCTGCAAGTCTTAAGCAGGGCAACAGTTGGTCCACTTGTATGCAGGCAGATCTATCTCTGTTATCATGTTGGACAAGGGTTGCTTATGATGTTTGGACCGACAGGCGGACTGTCAAGCTGTAGACAAAGTGTGTTGGAAGTCGAGGGCACGCTTTTGAAAAAGCTGTCTTAAGATCTCGGTAGAATAATTGTCAATGCGTCAGTTATGACAGGGTGCAGAAGCCGTTTGAATTCCTCTAATCATCAAGTGCTTAAACTGCTCAGGTTAACTGTTGTTAAGGGCTCAAGGGCAGCTGTCCAAAGTTTTCCTTTCAGATCCGAAGGACTTTCTGCAAGGGGAAAAGAGAGACGCATTGGAAGATCCCTGCTCAGTCCAGTGGCTCTGCCTGAGAAAAAGTGTCTTGCAAGTGATTCTGCAAACTCACCTATCCACTGTGTGCTGCAGCGAAACGGCGCGAATGTATACCTGCTGCACCTATGTAGCTGGCTGATTGACGAATTTGAGGTGGACCTGGTTTCACCCAAGGTGGGAACTTTCACCACTCAACCTCTTAAGAACGCCGTCCAGACAAGGAGCACTTCATAAAGCCTCTTTCCGAAGGTTTGGAGAGGGGTTCGTTGAGACAAAGTAACTGGACAATCTAAAGTACAGAAGACTTGAACACATCTTGAACATGTCTGCAGAAGACTTGAACACGTCTTACATGTCTGCTGGAGGTCGCATTTATCACTGGCCTACGCCCTTGTCAACAACGGCCCTGAATATTTGAAGGCAACTTGAGAGAACAGAAGCCTTCTGAATATGAATCGTTCTTATTTTGCACAGTCCGCAGAAAGTCAAAAGTCACTGCGAAGATGACACGCAAGCTCAAGCTATTCGAAGAATCATAACGCTGAAAGCGTACATGACCATGTCTCTCTGGCACACGTGTAGTGTACCTCAGCGTTCGATGGTAGACGACCAGATTTTCATGGCATCACACGTGCCACCTCCAGACTTCACTGCAGATGCTCTGCTTCACTTTGCAGGATGGACCTATGCGGGCTGACTTCGAGGCGCTTGGCGTGAATTGCAGTGCCATCAGCCCTTCCAAGGAGAATCACCGAGAAAGGCAACTCCTGAAGCAGGTGCAATGCTGCTTCGACCCCACCATTCCCCCTGTCACTGATGCAGCAAATGCAACTCAATTTTGCTATACCGATTGACTCTAGATCAAGCTTAGATGTGGTTGCGCACAGTCCAGGCACAAGCCAGAACGGAACTTTCTCACCTGCCGCCCATGCTGCGGCACTGTCAGATGTGCAGTGGCACGTGTGATCCGTGTTACTCTGAAAGGCCTGAGACTTCGCGCTCATCCTCGGACATCGCACGAGGTGTTCGTCCGTCTCTTGGATGCTCTGGCCAGCAAGCTTAAATTGCGAAGCTTCACCTTTTCAGCAGAAAGATAGCTGGAAGCGACCGTAGTTGATGCAGTCGTTAGAAAAGCAAAGCTTTACTGCCTGAGGGAAAGGGCTCGGGATAAAAGGGCTTGGGATTGTGCTGGCATTGCTTCATGTTGCAAAAGAATAGTCGCAGACTTCCATCTTGTGATATGGAACTCAAAAGATGGTTTTTGGCTGTTAGGCTGGTCACTTTAGGTTTTTTTCCTTCGAGGTTCTTCTGGACCTTTTCAAAGACCATTGTTTTTGAAGCTTGCCCTACTTCGACCGTTGTGAACATGCCTGCCGTTCCAGAATAAACCGAGGACCGTTGTATCAGTTGATCTGACAGTTCAGCTTGCCGTGCACTGTCTAGGCAGCTTTTTGTCGGGTCCGCTTGATGAATGCTGTTACTTTCTCACAGCCGCTGCAGACTGTGACTTTGTAAGCTGCTCCAAAATGACTCTGTTTCCTCTTCATTCATAGTGATGTTCATGCTCATGGAAACATATACTTTGAACTCTTTCACCTCTCGTAAGACGTTGAAGGTTGGAATATATCAGTGACACTGGAATTCGCACCAACCAATCTACGTTGATCTGCAAATATAGGCGCAGTACACTTTTGTCCTCTGCAACACCATCATGCGCGCGGAGGTGGCGGTCATTGCTGAGGAGATGGGCACCCCGTGCGTGTGGGTAGTGCACGAGGCGTGGCCGCAGGACCAGTTCGAGTACTACGCAAAGGAAGTCTTCCTCATGGATCACGTGAGTCGATCAAGCTCGTGCTCTGGGGCCTTCTTTGACGTTCCTGTCCCAAGCCCTTTGGTAGGAAAGAGGGACGCCGTGTTTAGTAGTGTGGTAAAGTCTGTATTCTCTTGTACTCTTACACTGCTGACATATCTGACCTTTTTGTCTTTCCTGTTGCTACTGCGTGCTGCAGATCGACTCCGCCCTGCTGCACAGAGCTTTCAGTCTCTGCACTCGCATCATCTTCCCTGCCAATGTTCAAAAGGAGCTGTACGCGGGTCTGTACAAGGACGGGGCTGCCCTATGCATCTACAATGGTGAGAGCAGTGTACCCTTGCTTTTACCGCTTCGCTTGGCAGTCAAAACGTATCGACTAGTGACGGATTGGTACGCCGCGCCAAAAGCATTGAATTGATTCGTCATTTGCGTACTGGAAAGTCAATTTGCTGCCTGGGAAGCGCCCCCTGTTCTCCCTTCATTTGAAGTTTACTCAGAGCTTGATCCTCCTCGGTTTCGATCTGTTACAGCTGGTATCAATCGTCGCGTATCAGCCCCGCTTTGAGTCCGTTGCAGCAGCATCACCGTCCCCCTTCAACCTGATTACATCTCAGCTAGCCCCGCTAAACTCTCTGATCCGGTAATTCCTCACAGGGGAGGCTTCCTATAACATATTGGATTCTGTTAGAGTTGCTCTTTCGTTGATTGTCTTCCCCGCGTTGCGCTTCCGCGTTGCGCTTCTACTAGATTCTCGGTTTCATTTCCTTCCTCCACTATAACCCCAATCTTCTGACTGTCCGAGGTTCTTCCATCGCGCTAGGTGGATATATTCGTGTACCTGGCGCTCTGACTTACGCCTGGCCCACCCCTCTCTTTCCGTTCCCAACGGAAAGCATGTCCGCCGCAAGCCTGGCAATCACTTTATTACCATAGACTAATCTCTGTGTGTCTGCGCCTGACTCACAGGTATCCCATTGGACGCCATTGACGAGTTCGTGAAGAGCAACACCCGGGAAGAGGTTCGCTACGCAATGGGATACGAACCAGACGACTTTCTCATCGTGCAGGTGGGTCTCGTTGAAAGGCAGGATGAAAGTTCTGAATGCGGCTTCATGCCTTGGCAATTGGAAAGGATGTAAGCATCATCATCGGGAGTATATGTCACAAGTTTTAATGGAAGGCCGCGCTGATAGAACCAAGGTCGTGCTGTTGATGACGGCAGCAGGTCACGTTTTGAACCCTTAGCACGGTGCGACAACCTTCTGGACCTTAAAGACCTCTCTATCTATTCTACGTGGTTTGTCCTGTAGCAATCGAGCGGTTTGGAAACCAGCTTCACATTGCGTTATGGTGCCCTCTCGACAGGTTGGCACCGTGTGCAACCGCAAAGGTCAGCTGTACTCCGCTAAGGCCTTCGTCAAACTGGTCGAGGCGGGGGCGCATCCCAACGCCAAGTTGCTCATGGTCGGCGCACGCTACATCCGCGATCACGAGATCAAGTACATCGACGAAATCAACGCTGTGGTCGCCAAAGCGGGTCTGCAAGACAGGGTCAAGATTTTAGACTGCCAGGATGATGTCTTCCCGGTAAGGCTTCTTGGTGAATCTATGCGCGTCATTCAAAGTGGCCTGCTGAGGCGAAATGACGAGTCTGGCCATGAATCAATTTCAGATAGCTACTGACCATCACAAAGGGTCAATGCGTTTGCGGCCTGCATTTGTAAGTCGAGTTGCGGACACGGAGAAGGTCCTTACTCTGACCAGGAATGGATCGTTGTTGAGAAAACCCAGTTTGATCAAGCTTCCCATAGAATGTGTTTCTCTTTCTTCTTTCTTGAACCTTAAAGAGACGCTGCTTCTCAGGCTCGCTCTTTGTCTTGGCTAAGTTGCGTCTTTATCACGTATCAAGCGACAGGCTAGATAAGTGCAGCAGAATCCCCATGCCTTTATCGTCGAAGTACACGTGTTTGGAGGGATTCAGAAGGGTACTATTTTGGGTCAGCTCTCTTTGCCCTGTAGGATTTTGCGGCCGATCGACGTCAAGCTCTGCAATCTCGGCGTCTGGCCAAAGCTGAAAGTGCTCACACTGTTCTTTTGTGCTTTTTTCAGTTCTACCTGGCAGCGGACGTGGTGCTTCAACCGTCTCTCAACGAGGTTCTGCCGCTATGCATCTGCGAGGCGATGGCCTTCGAGCGACCGGTTATCGCCACCAGAATCGATGGCATCCCCGAGGCTCTTGATCACCACAGAGAGGGGTTGCTGATCCCGCCCGCTGATGAGGTACATTGCCCCTTATCTGCTGCCACGTGTCGGCGCCGTGACTGGAACCGGTGCGACCACAGGCGATGTGCGTGTGTTTAATTATGGACGTACCCAAGGTTTCCAGGCGAAGCTGCTTGTCAATAAGCGGATGCACCGATGCAGTGGCGCTGTCGTGTTACAGCTCCTCTCTTTGCCGCATTTTGTATGGATTTTCGCTTCTTTCGTTGAGCCCTTTCTGATTTCCTGCCCAGAAGGGTCCGCCTATATCTCCCCGGAATGAGTACGCATGTCATCCACAGTCGGTGCGCTACTCTGACTTCTGAGAATGTCTTGGATTGTGCTGACGGCATGTCCTTCACTGTATGACGTCACAGGTCGCCCTCAAACTGGCCATAAAGTCTCTAGTGGACAACGAGGATGAGCGCGTGAGGCTGGGTGTCAACGGGCGGAAGAGGGTGCAAGAGCAATTCAGCTACCGCAACATGATCAACCAGGTAAGAGTGCTAGAGAGTCAGGACTGATGTTTTTGGCAAGAAAAAGTTATTTGATCAGCATACAAGGTGGCATGCGAGGAAAACCTACTTTAAATCGCCGTTCAGTAGGCAGAGTGCATAATCAAGAGGCCCAGCTTCCACCTGCTCTCAAGTGATCCAGAAGGTAGTCGCCACATTTTGGCACCCGCGTGCAGATCAAGCACGCCATTCTCTAGTGGTAACTGCCTGTTGTTCGTCCTGACAATTTCCGCCAAGAGGTGCCTCCTTCGCCGCGTGTATGATGCGTTTATTCCGCTCTATTCGCGCTTATTTCTTTTGCTTCTCCACTGGTGGCCACAGTACAAGGACTTCATCAACAACATCGTGGAGAACGATGTTCGAGTACAGACGCCCGTCCGCACGCCGAGCACGACACGCGGATTCAAGCAGTGGGAGGATACCGTTACAGGTGAGCTTTCGTCGCCAGTCTTTTGAGCATGACTGAGCTCGTACTTAAGTGCAAGTTTGTCCTGGACGGGTGTTCAGATGCCCCTCAGTAATCCGCGATGTCTGCGGCAGCTACAGTTCCAAACCGGTGGAGCAGCACTTAGAACAGACGGACTGGTCCATTCCAAGCGGTATCCTCCCATGACGCTTGATGCCGGTCGGTGTCTCACTATTTTCGCGTAGGATGACGGCAGCTTTGGCCGTAAAGGACCTCCAAATGGCTGCAAGATAGAAAGTGCGGTTCGTTTAGTTCAGCAAGTTATCTGATGTTTGTCTTGGAACTGTTTTACAGTGTTGGTAGACTTGGACAATACCGTGGTGGACTGGGACAAGGAGTTTACCAAGCGGTGGATTGCGGCGGGGAACCCAGCAAGTGATGCAGACGTCATCAAAAAGAGAAAAAGATTCGAGATCGAGCAGAACTTCAATGCGCAGCAGACAGAACTGGTCATAAAGGTGCGTATCCAGTTCTTGATCCCGCTCTCACTCGCGACCGACAGTTTCAATTGAATCGGTCATTTGATCCTGTTGGCTGCCTTTGAAACGGCTTTTACGAAAAACGGTGACTTCCTTGGTTCTTCCGAAAAGCTAGATTTAGCGCCGACTTTGCTTTGAAAAGGTAAATGCAAGATATACCAGGAAACTTGTCGTTGGTCTATCGAGCGTATAGGATAGATTCGGACACCCAATTTTGTCATTTGCTTGTTGTCGATGCATTGAGAGTGCTTAGTAGTCGGGCTGCAATGGCCGCAATGGAGGTGGTCAGCGGGACTGATTTGTGGCTCACTCATGTCAAACTAAGCGGCCACATCACTCCGCGAATCTCGCTGACTTTTCTCCTGTGTTCTCCGTCTGATAGGTCATCGCCCAGCCCGGCTTCTACGCCCAGCTGGAGCCCTTCCCGAAGGCCTTGTGGGCGCTGCAAACGATGCTTCAGGTAGGCGAAGCACAAGGCTCTACACGCGTTTGACTTATTCAGAACTTGTTGGAAGACTCACCCCTTGGCGTTCTGCGTCAAAGTAGCGCCGAAACGGTACATCTGAAAGGCCGTTAACGGACACAGGACCGTTTCCGTACGACAGTGGCGCCGAACTAGGCGCGCTCTTTATTGATTCTGGCGATGCATTGGCGCCGCAGAAGCCAATGACCCAGAAGCGCCATTCAGGCGTTTTTCGTCGCCGTTCGTCACCCGAGATGCCCACGGTTAATCTTCATCTCCGTGTGCACACCTTTCTGTCAGCACTTCGACATTCTTCCTCTGGGCCCCCGGATCATGATCATAAGTAAGATCATCTCTGCGCAGGGTTCGATGCGCTTCGTGTAACCTGAAAGAATCCAAGGCTTCCGTTCCGACTGAAAGGCGTTTCTTATCGCAATGTCTCGTCCTCTTGCCGACTACGGGGGTTGATATTCACTTTACGGGGGTTGATTTTCAGTGGCTGAAACGTCGAACAGGCGATATTGTGGACGGAAATATCTCTCGATTGAAAGAGAGAACTTATGAGAACTTCTCCTCCCGCAGTCTGGCATCGACGTGAAGCTGGTGACTTCCCCGCACCCCTGCTGCCGCGCTCAGTGCACAATCGAGAAATACGAGTGGGTTGCCAAGCACCTAGGGGATGAGTGGTTCAAGCGCCTTATCATCACCGCAGATAAGACGGCAGTCCGAGGGGACATTTTGATCGACGACAAGCCTGCCGTCGTTGGGTAAGTGATATGTACAGCTGGCAGGCATGTTTCGTACTCTTCATACATGCCAATGGCGCCTTCAACTGCTCGTTTTGGAACAAGTGTCCTGGAACGCTCTGAAAATGCAGGGGTGTTGGTGAGCTTTTTGGATCAAGTGCGCTGCAATATGGTCTCTCTTTTTTCTGGCATTCTTTCTGACGTACCACTTCTTGCCTTGTTAAGTCGCTTGCTTGCTTGCTTGCTTGCTTGCTTGCTTGCTTGCTCCGTCGTACTCGCAGCAGCCTTTAAGGTGACTGGTGCGGGTCTGATTGCCTCGAGCTGACGAGATGCTTGCACGGTATTGATCACTTTAACGCCACCAAGCGCAAATGATTGAACGAAACTGCCTGTGAACTTCGTCCACTGACTCGCATCTCCACTCGCTATTGTCTATGCGCCTTATGTCCACCTGAGACGATGAACCTCTGCGGCGTTTCCACCAGGTCCATGAAGCCGCAGTGGAAGCACGTGCTCTTCAATGCGTCTTACAACGAGAAAGTCACAGGCAAGCCACGGTTGACTGCTTGGGAGGACTGGGAGCGCGCTGTTCTCCCACCTAGTCACCACAAGATTCGCAGGTCCTTCGGTGCGTGATCCGGTCCTGCTTGCGTTGCAACGGTTCAAGACAGTAGTCTGAAGTGATTCTTAGGTACTTCGTACAACACTGTTGTGTAGTCCTTTAAGGAAAGGAACATTTTGTTGGGGTGGATGTGTTGTAATTTTGGCGAAGTGGATGTGTTGTAAGTGCAAGTATGGGGAAGACCACCAGGGCACAGGGGCTTAGCGCAGGATTCAAAGTAGCGGCGTTGCGCAAGATTCTTCAGGTACCTGACTGTACAATATTGTCGAGATTGTTTGACCCTTTGAATTCAGAGGGCTCTGTACCATAGCAGTTCTGTAGCAGATTCACAATGTTGGAAGCAGAGGATGGAGCGACATAGTCGATCTATTGACGTTGCGCAAAGGCGCCTGTACTGTCAAAGCTACTCGTGACTCGTACACACTGATTGAATATCGTGACCGAATTGTGGAACTTGCCCTCGGGCCTTGCGCGCAAGTTGGGAGTGCTAGGGGCAGATGCGCTCTTCCTTCGCGGATCATGCAAACGTACCCTCCAGTAATACATTGTGCAAGTTTTGAGCGAAGCGACTAATTACGTCGGAAAGGGCATCCGCGGAGCAAACGAAGCGCGGCATGCCACATGCAATGCTGTGACGTGTGTTACTACATGAACCCGAAAATCTATCTGCATTGCATGCACATAGCATCATGCATCACATTATAGAAGCGACGTACTAAAACATGGGGCTGAATGGGGTACACAGAAGGTTTGTATCGCATAATTATTGCCGACTCGGATTTTACTATCGAGTTAAAGACCGCGCACGCGTCAAGATATAACGGGCCCCTCAATGACTGAGTTACCCTATTGCGCTGTGTATGTTTATGTGCACATGCAGATGAATGGTCATGAATGGGCGTTTACTCTTTTCTTAAGTTAGGTAGTTGATCTGCTTCGATGTTTTATAGGCGATATATGGTTATCACGACAATTACTACCAGAACTGTATATTTTCAGTCCAACGATTCTATACATGTCATTGGATCACAACTCTGCGTGCCTAGCCAGCTGCACAAACTCTCACCTAGCCATTCGCGAATTCCTTTTTGCTACACGGGCTGCCTAGTCCGGCCCCATGATGTGTTCTCCAGTTTATCGTTTGCGTGCACGTTTACTCCTACAACTTAATTGCTACAATCTAGTTGCATGGCATCTATCTTTGTAACCTGCACATTGCAGGACAGCTTCGAATTTTCAATCTACCTAAACGCCTTCAACTTTGGCAATACTAGATTACTCTAAGAAAGACAAACTTCTAGTCACTGCTACTTCTTTCGAAGCTGCTCCACTAGCTGCGACTACAATCTTATCTTTCACTAGCTGCCTAGTCCTCCTTGCATCTCCTGAAGATTGAATGTTACACAATTTAAGATCTTTGCGCATGCAATAAATCGACGAAACCACCGGAAGTGTCAACAAGATGGCCCTTGCACGACGACTGCAGCTCCTGACACTACTTCGAGAGTGTTAGCAACGTGGCCGCCACGACGAGCACCGCTCCCGAGATCCAAAATATGGTCCGGTTTCGTTTCCCCTTCATCTCGTCGAACATAAAGATGCCCCACAGGCCGGAAACGAATAAGCTGCTCTGGACGATAGGGTATGCGAGACCGTAGCCCAAATATCCAATGGCAAACATCTTCAGTACGGTGGAGGCATTCCAGCAAAGGCCAGCCGCTACACCTGCTCCAAACAAAGGGATCAGTATTCAGCTTCATCTTACTTGATACCCGTATCTCAAGAGCTTGAAACAAACTCTAGTCTCTGCCAGAACGTCGAAAGAAGGTTTTGGAGAAAAAAGCTTGGCATAAGGAGTGTCCCGTGCTCTATAGAAGCGGAGTTGACGCTTCTAATTTGTCTGGTCGTGCTGAAAGCCAGTTCGCCGAGAACGTTCGACATCGTACCAGTTTCAGCGTCGGTCAGTGACTCGATTCATTTAACACCAAAGAATGCTTTTAAATGCTTGCGATGTTAGCCTCGGACGCAACGAACACGAATTCATCTGAAGAATGGTTCTAAAGCATCCAAATGGAAGGTCACCCATCGACCAGAATCTGATATATACCCAAGGTTGGGAAGGTGAGAGGCCTTGCAGTCGGCTGAACTGATTGGCCTACGAGAAAAGAAACTATAAGCCCCATAGAAAAAACAGTAAAATCCGGTAGATCCAGATAAGCCGAACGTCCCCAATATCCACAGAATTCACCCCCGTCGACTCCAGCAAATACCTGACAATCGTTCCCTCTGACTGCGCATTACAGGAAATTCATCCTGGAGTCACTCTCGAACGGTAAAAATCCACAACCTTTCGCAGGCACGTAGCTTTACGGCACCCTTGGAACATGTGGCAAGCTGAGGCGAACACGTGGCAAGCCTTTCGCCAACGCAGCCAGGACCGTTACAATGTCAGAGTCAGACATGATGGCCCCCGTTTGGGCTCAGTACTGACCCGTGGCGATTCTCCGCAAGACCTGTGTCAAATTGTGCATCCTCGTAACGCGCACTGGGGTCTGAAGGTTCAGGTTGAAGTGCTTCATCAGGTATAGGAACAAATTTCTGACACGAGGCAAACTTGAAAGAATCGGGGCGACTCGAATATTACCTGGCAACGCCGCAGTCTTGGGCTTTAGCTCGATTCGCTCTCTCCTGTAAAGGTGCGGCAGAATGGCAACAACCGGTGCGCCAATGAGCACTCCCGCGATTAGCGACGGAAGGTAGGCGATCCCACGGGCGGACTCCGGCACGAATTGCATCGGCGCCAGGATCAGACCCCCAGTCGATCCGGCAATAACCGAGAAGAATAAACCAGCTGCAGAGCAAAACACAAGGTTGTTTATGGTGTTTGGGACAAGAGACATTACCAAGCGTTAGGTTAGGGAGCCAGGGGACGACTCTACCTTTCAAATGGAGACTTCAGAGTCAGGCTGAGAAAAGGATCTTCAATCCGAGGTTGGAGAAGACAGTTCTTTGAAACCAAAGCAGATTCTTGACCAGACTGTCTACCCTGCCGATAGAAGATGAGAAGTTATGACATTGCTGACCATGTCTGTAGACTTAGAACTGTATCCTTTGTTGCTGCTTACAGTGCGCTCGGACAAACTTCCTGCCAACAACCAGTAAACCAGAAGCAGTAAACGACAAACGCCAGGGAAGAATTGCCACTTGTAAGGAACGGATGGACCAGCCAACTGAAATGCGTTCTGGTGAAAGCCTTTCTCTTTCAAGCAAGCAGGCCCAATAGCAGCGGAATGAAAAAGTAGACCGGCAACAAAAACCTTTTTTAAGACTCTCCTTTCTCACCTGCGAAGTGCCACAGTTTCTTGTTATTCTCCTTGTTGCCAAGCAATCCCGCCACCTCATCATCCTCCATATCAGATGGCCGCCCAGCATAGGCTATGCCCCCAATGCTAGCTAATAGTAAGCCCAGAGCAGATAATGCAAGAGGCATGTTTCGGAGGTTGCCCCCATTCGGATCGAAGAAGAGGCCGAAACAGAAGGACATGAGGGATTCTGTCCCGCACTTGACGCCGGTCCCCACAGACGCGCCAAGGAAGCCTGAGAATGAAGTGGACGGTGTCAGAGTGTGAAGACTCGCTTGAGTTGTGAGTATCAAAGGGTAAGGCCGACAGGTGCATGAAACTGTCGTAGCGACATGGCCACAGAGGGGCAGAGCAAAACTCATACTTGAACCAGCAATTGCAGTGCCTATGCAAAGAACGCAAGTAATCGCCCATTGAAAATATGAACTGCTGGAAGTTGCAGTATGTAGTGAAAACAGGCGACTCCGCTTGGATATGGGCAGACTGCCAGCGTAACGCCTCCACCTGGCATGACCAAACTGACAAGTCGGTAACCAAGGACACCATTAGGGCCGTGGTTGAAAAAACACAGAACTATATTACTAAGGAGCACAATCTTCACAGCCGCAAGCATACTGCAGCCCAATCTACCCCTGGAAATCAGTCTATCTGTACTCCTCTCATCCTTTAAGTACAGACAGACTTTCTTAGGGCGACCCAGGGTCAATGTTTGCTGGCATCTTCTGGAGTTTGAAAACCTATGAAGGACGAAAGTTGAAACCTTTGCCGGGTGCAGATATAAAGCGTCTTTTTTCAGGACTCTTGAAAGGCTCACATGCTGGTGGCATGCATGCGCCAAAAGAAAGCCATAAGGCACTTGAGAAACTACAGACAAGCTGGGTGCAGGCTCAGTTACATTTGAACCTCACAGGCAGTCTCATTCAGTTCACCGAGCAACAGAGCAGAGTCAATGCCGTAGCCTTCACTTAACATCGTTGGTTGCCTTCACGAGAGGCCAGCGATTTACGTTGTACACTCACTTACGGTCACAAAGGCCCATGCAATTGTTGTCGACAAGAGCATCCCACTAATCAGGCCCAGCGGTTGCCAGACGAGCGGCCCATGCAGCGCAGCAATCACCAGTCCGCTTGTGGAGAGCCCTAGGCAGGCCCACAGATTAAATACGGTGTCATCGACGTCAGAAGGCTTGAACCCGTCCTTTGCCAGCACACTGTAAGTGCCATTGAACACTGCAGAAAGCAGAGCTAGCAGGAAGCCTGTAATGATGCTGCTGGTGGGGGCGGTGAGTGCGTCGAGGGCGGTCAGCAAAAGCGCCATCTTTCTGCAGCGTTTCCGCGCTGTCCCTGAGGTCTAGAGATCCGCTTCACAGGACTGCAGCCTAGCAGTTCTTCCACCAGGTTCCGTTCAGCCGCAGTTTCTCCAGTGAATCACACCAGCAGCAGGCATGCAGCTAACAGCTGATACCTCCCGACATGCTTTCAGCTTCAAACCCCGAAAAGATGGACCTAAAAGAAGCGGAGGGAAGGGTCCAGAAGCCAGAGAGCGCAGGACAGACGGCTTCTAAGCTGCATGTGCGCATGCCAATGGCCCTTGCTTGCATGCAATTCAAGCCTCAGCAAGAAATGAAGCACAGCTTGGTTGGGTTTCCCCTGGTTTCTCTGTAGCAGTGTAGGGTTTGACACTTGGTTAAGCGAGGGCGGTGACGTTGCCCCTGACGGTTGTCCAGTTGCGCAGCCGAGCACCCAGTATTAATTAACGCCGTCTTTCTCGCCGACCCCAGAACGGCATCACGGCTTTCCAATTCTTCCGCACGAACCATGCAACGGTTATAGATAACCCTATCCATGCGCGGGGAAGCCGCTCGTTCAAGACGTAGCTTCAAGTTCAAGTTTTCCAGGGAAATTTTATCAGACCAGTCCTGACTTTGCTGGTGTTTGCCAACCTTCGTTGCTTAGATCGCGCCCCAAGGAGCTGGCATTTGGGATGGCTTTGACAGCTGCGAGGCTTGTTTCAAGTGGGCAGCTTGCTCTCACATTTAGGACTTCCGACTGCGGTTATGGCCATGGTTTCAAGAACGATAGGGTAAAGGTGCATCAGAGGCTCCCACGGAAGAACACGATTGCAATGGGGGTGGGGGTAAGTGATGCTGTGAGTTTGTGTGATCATTGATTTGAGCAGTTTCATCCGTACTACTCTGCTCCCCTTTCATTTTTTTATGTTTCTGTCTGCTCACGGCCCATTGCAAAGAACTCGCTTTTGTTCCTTTCAAGCGTGTGATGGATGAGAAACCCGTCACGGTAAGAGCAGAAATGCATCAAGGGATCAGCTGTTCTTGTTGGCCGATGCTGCCTTGGGTGGTGTTATTATTGATCTCAGCATATACATGCCATGCTCTATGAGGACTTCTTTTCTGCCAATCTTGGTGGTTTCAGTGCTTTCAAATTTTCAAGTCAGCGCCACCGTAAATTATTCCTTCTGATGTTGAAGACAAAGCGTGCTCAGTGTAATTCTATGTTCCTCACCAATCTCCGTGCATCTTCCTTCCTTACTGCCTGTTCTTCTGAAGGTGTGTCTGAAAGCTGCACATCAGCTTCATTAGAAAGTTATCGTCCTGCCCCTCTTTAGAAGGCAATGTTGTGAACGGGGCTGCCCGGGCATCTCCGCACGTTCCTCAGACGTGCATACTAACTGTAGCTTCTTAAGAACATCCCAAGAAGACTTCCATTTGTAGAGTCCTGAATCCGGTACTTCACCCTGAAGGCTTTCTTGAGTATGCCACCCCTGGCTGGGCCCTTACATCAAACAGTTGTTTCTTGGTGCAACTTATATTCAACCCCAGTGCCTTGAAGCGGTTGCTTACTTGAAGCATTGGACCGTTCTGATTGTCCCCAGCTGGCTGCAGAGTGGTTGAGGTCCGTTCTCTGCGGTGCTCGACGGTAAGGGCAGCCTTGTCTTCCTCCAAAGTTTTACACGAGCTCTTTACGTTGTTTTTCAGTGGAGGCTGGCAAAGGTCCAGTTTTACCCTGTACTGAACGGTATGGATCAAACTTCCGCAGGCAACAGAGTGTCGATGTGACAGTGATTATCATGCCAGGTATATGCAGATTCAGATCATCTTTCTGCAGAAGCAGACCAGGATTTTGTGCCATTGTGATTCACCGCAATCCAGCTCCTCATTTGCTTCCACTTCATGCCTCATCTGCCGGCATCTAATGGAGCTTGTTTCCAGTCAGGGTCCTCTACCTTGGTAATTTAGGTCACCCTTTTCCTTTATTTGGCTCAACCTGTTTTCATACCATTCTTTGAAGATTCTCCGAGAAGGAATACTGAGTTTTGTCTTCGACTCGCAGAAAGCCAAGGTTGAGTTCGTCAAGTATCAAGGCCTTGGAAACGACTTCCTTCTGGTCGACAACCGGGACCGGTCAGAGCCGTCAATCAGCCCCGAGCAAGCAGCGAAATTGTGCGATCGGAATTTTGGGGTGGGGGGCGATGGCGTCATCTTCGTGCTGCCGGGGAAAGACGGTGCTGACTACACCATGCGAATCTACAACTCGGACAGCAGTGAGCCAGAGGTGAGGGTTCCTTTGTCAAGGTTGATTCCTCAGTGGACGGTGCAAGCGATGTACCGGACCATTTGCGAGACATGTCAGGGGTGGATTGAGGTCGTTAAGAAATGGTCGCGAGTTATTAAGGGTGGATTTAGGCAGGTGAGGCAGACTAGCTACCGAATTGGAGTCCGCTCCAAGTCGAGAGTAAGCAACGGGGAGCTATTGGCGTGACAATGTGAATGGCCAGAAAATCTTAAGCAACTCACGGTCACAAGGTTTGGTCTGGGCTGTGATGGGACAACTGGACCTAACTTAGGTAAGGGCGAAACGGATACCTCCATGTGCGCTAAAGATCCTCAAGGATAGCGTTCATTTCGTCCGTTGCCTGCAGACTCTGCCGTTGAAAGGAGTCATTACGCACTTGGCTTCTGGGAGCTTCGAAGAGTTCAGACAGTCCTTGTTTATGCGAGTCTTCGGTCTGATTTGTCCGACTAAACAAACTCGCAGATGCTGATTGTGGAAACAACGGCCCTCAAACTGTCTTGCAAAGAACAGTCCTCTTGTAGCCTGGTCTACTTTGGATCAAATTCGTTTCGCTACTTCGGGCAACTCCGAAAACCGAACGGGAGAGGGAAGCAGACAGTCGGGACGGCAAGCTTTGCACGATTGCAGTTGTCCCGGAGACATGCACGAGCTTTCGATAGGGTGCTGGTTTCTTATTGGCTGCAATTGACTTTCGCCTCAGCGCTCTGATGTAGGACATTTTTCGGGGGTTCTGGAAGTGTATCAAAGTTCGTGTGCGGTCCTGCGGAAGTGGTCGTCAAAGCATATGGATTTCTGTTTTGGACAACAAAAGAAACGCTGAGTGTCAAGATGACCGGCGCTCCCAGATGAATACCGTTCTATTTCACACGTCCGACGTAAGTGAATCTGTTAGACGAGGTTTTGGCAGACCCAAGCGCAACTTGCGCTGGAGAGCACAATCATCGCCCGTGTTAGCTCTTCATCTCTTCGAACCGACGATACTTCGCCACTGTTTGTACGAGTACCTCCATCCAAGCCACCAGCGGTTGGTACAAAGCAGGACACAAATCAACGTGGGAGACCCTGCAACAGGCAAGGCATTCCGTTTTCAACATTTGGACTTCACGAGAAAAAAGTAATTTGCTTGCGCAGATGTGCGGGAACGGCATCCGGTGCATGGCGAAGTTCGTCGCAGACCTGGAGCAGGCGTCCGGGTCCAAGGCGTACACAATCAACACGCTGGCGGGGCCGATCAAGCCGGTGCTACGGGATGATGGCCAGGTGTGTTTTTGTGATCAGAACAAGATCGAACGAGACAGATTGGTGCATCGCAACCGGCTGAAACTCCTCTAATTGCGAGCTAGAAGTCTTAGTTCTCATGTCCGGTTTTAATCTGTGTCAGAACTCGTCACTTGTCTGAGCTTCTCACGTTTGAATCCATTGGGAAATCAGCTCGTATGTCGCTGTAGCCTTACCGAGGCAGCATCTTGGGATTGGTGATCGAATTCCTACATCCAATACTGACATGGCTCACGTGATCTCATCCTGTTCATGCTGTTCCGGTTGTCGTGTATCCCGTAAGGAACCGTGTGTCTACGATTCGGGCACTTCGATGCACTCTCAGACGCATCCTCACAGCATTTTGTTCAATTTGGGAGTCTTTGGCGCCCACAAAATGGATCTGCATTGAGAACCCGGCTTGATGTATGCAGGTCGTGGTCGACATGGGGCCACCGATTCTAAAAGCTGCCGACATCCCGACGACTCTCAAGCCTACGCGCGAGGACGGGAGCGTTGTCGCGGCGCCGTTAGAAGTGGACGGGCTGACGTGGGCCGTGACGTGTGTCAGCATGGGGAACCCGCACTGCATAACGTTTGGCTGCGTAGGGGCTGAGGAGGTGCGCGTTTTGGGGTTCTTGAGAGTCAGAACTTGAGAGTTTTGGGTTCAGAATTTTGGAACTTGGAAATCTGGAACTTCGGAACAGCAGCCAACTTTTCGTAGTCGTCTTAGCAGTGCGGCCATGTTCTTTTCCTCTCTTCCCACTCCGCCTCCAGTCTCAACAACGTTTAACACTAGCTGCATCAGGAAACTCCACGCCCTTTCGATGACGTTTCTTTCGGCCTGTGGCGCTACCTTGATCCACGGACACTGGGCTACTACATATCTGCCTTTGCGGCTTCGATCTCAATAGCTTTATCAAGAAGTAGAATATATTTCTTGGATTCAGACATTTCAATGACTGCCGACATTCCTTGTGGCCCCTGACCGTTGGTGCTGCCACTATTCGCACGCTTCACCGCTTGGAAAAGCACGAGAGAGGCGTCGAAATTCTCCTTCCCGCCCGTCTTACACCCTGTCAAAAGCTGTTAGACGTATGTACCTTGATAAAATTGACACGCCAGGTAGATTGACCATGGAATTGCTCGACAGAATGCGTGGAAGGAGAACGTGGACCAAATTCGCTCGTTTGGGAACCCCAAGCTCTAGAACCCTTTCCGGCCCGCAGGCCGGTTCGGGGTTCGGACTCCTCTGTATATTTCGGTACCGGGCCATTCACGGTACACTGTACCCTTCTTCTTTTGCTGGCGGTCGTAGGTAGTGTGGTTCGAAGCAGAGTACCGGGAAGGTTGCCCGGTCATTTTCACGAGTGCCGGGGGCAGCTACACCACTTGCGCGCAGTCCAGGGCTGAGTGGGGGTTCGAAAAGTCCGAATTTGGTTTACGTTCTCCTTCCATGGGTTCTGACACCATCCTTTATCTGTCTTCTCAGGGATTGAAAGTGTCAGAGATCCCGCTAGCGCACATAGGGCCTCTGTTCGAACGCAACGCCGTATTCCCTGCCCGGATCAACACAGAATTTGTCGAAGTGGTGTCAAGAACGAGGCTAAAGATGCGAGTGTGGGAGAGGGGCGCAGGTAACGGATCAGCTATCCCGACTAATCATTTCACAACATTAATTGCATCCCCTTAACAATTGTGAAACGCTGCAAGTATCGCTTTGTCCTCTGGATCTCTCTTGACCTTTGTACGGTATGAGCTGGTCAGCGAACGACCCCATGTTACGGCCAAATCGAGCGATACTTGACAAGAGATTCCGCTTCCTCTTGGCTGTACATCTTCGCTTCGAAGCCGATGGCTGCACCGAACTGCGTCTTTGTCGTGGTTGGACGGACCCACGGCAGAAAAGGCCCCGTACGAATCGTCTGACGTCCGCTCGTACGATTTGACGTGAAGACATCTGAGGAACTCTCAAGGTCCTTCTCAAAGAGGAAGCTGAATCGAGAGTTGATCTGATCTTGGATTGACAGATTTGAAAGACGGCCACAAAGAATCAAATCAGAGCTTTCAATAAAGTCGGCAGGGTGAAGCAATCAGAACGAGCAACAAGAAGCGTGCAAAGTGCTCTTCGTCCCGATCCTTTCCTGCTTTGGTCTCTGGCATAGTGGTGCCTCCAGCGTCGTTTGACGCTGAAAAAGGAGGACCGTGCAAGGGACGCGCTTGACCTCGCTAAATTCAATTTTGTAAACCTTCAACTTGGTGGTCATTTGCAGGGCCGACACTTGCTTGCGGAACGGGGGCATGCGCGCTGCTAGTGGCGGCAGTTCTTGAGGGACGGGCAGAGCGGGTAAGCCTAGAGTGCCCACTAAACCCAATCTGACGGTCTCTGCGCTTGCTCGGACCGACAAAATGGACGGACTGAAAAACGGAGCACTCTCAAGGATTCCCCTTGATCAGACTTTCTCATGACGACGAATCAGATCTAGTCGATTTGCCGATTTTGGCGGATGATTTTGAGAATCAGATCTGGAATATCCAAGCTCTCCGGTAGTGCTGCTTCTTTTGGCCCATGCTTTGACAGATGGCGGAAGTACCTTGTCGGACCGCGTCACACTTGTGCATTCCTGCCAAGGGGTCGTCTACGGTCTGCATCGCCAGAAAAGTTCTGAGCAGCTATGTGATTGTACTTTCGTTTTTGGAACTCGCCGGAAGCTTGCCATGCGAGGTGGACTGATGCCGGATCCTGTATCGCTTTTTCCAGACATGCACGGTTGAGCTACCAGGAGGCCCTCTTGAGATTGAGTGGCGGGAATCAGACAACCGCGTCTACATGACGGGCCCTGCGGAAGCTGTTTTTGAAGGTATCGCGCAGGTCAACGACTAGGACAGGTTGATATAGGCGTGTTAAATTTTGATATCCTTTACGGCGGCTAACGCATACGGCCGTACCTCCAGTTTTGCTTAACCTGGGTTGCTAAGGTGAAACGGCTCTCAATTGAGGGCATGGCTGGCACTAGACCCTAGCTAAAGTCAAGTTCAAGCAGGCCGTCATTCATTGGAGCATGCCTTTGGATGGTTTATCGATTGAGCCCGCTTACATATCAACCAATGGTTGCCTCCGGCCAGTTCGGGCTGTCGTACGGTATCCGCACGTGCACACGGCATTCTTTATGGTTGAACGTGCTCCTGAATCAAAGTACCGGTCAATAGCCTGTCGGAGCATGCATGAGTCGCAGGCTATCTTGTAAGATGGTCTCTCATGTAGCTCGCGCAGCCTGCGCTGAGCGCTTGCCAGAGCAACGGTTGTCAGGATCGGCCACATATGCATGAGGCCGGCCATGTGCGCGCCGCGTGAACGCTGTCGCGGATGATGGTGGCCGCTCTTAGTTGAGTCTATGCATTCTCTGGTAATGATCCACGTACGCGTCGGACTCACGTTCGAACTTGACGATCTGTCAATTCCGACAGCATGCGCATGCAGCGGCAAGCTTTATAGCAGTCTGGCTTGCCAGGTAATGCCACATGACAGCAAAAGTCAAGATCATGTGGCATACATTCGCCAGCGCCGACATCGAATTCAAGCTTTCCGACAACTTCATTGATTGTATAGTGATTGCGATCCTGAGTACCATACCGTACATCCGAAGTCAAGCTGCAAACGATTGAAATCCAGCTGCGCACTCTTGCGACCATCCTGTATATAGAGAAAGCGTTCAGGGACCAGGCCCGAAGCATAATATATTCTCGATGACCAACTAAATGCCCATTGCATGCCAGGCTACGTTTAAACCCTTCGCATACAAGGTTGACTCAATCATGATGAGCGCGCGTGCTGAGCGCACAAGGGAGGCTTGCGATGACAATGATTCTGTACACTTCAACTCATATACAAGTAGCCGTTGCAAAATATCACTATTGTCTACCTCAGCTTGAGTTTGATATTTTATGATCCAGCCTGGCTTACCCGGCTCCCGGGCGCCGCTTCAGACAGTCGGGGCAAGAGGTTCCTAAATTCGTGGTGTACCTACCACCCCCTCGCTATTCTAATCCTCGTCCTTATCCATCCAGAGTGCTTCACCATTGTTTAACTCGCTCATGTTTTCGAGGGCAGCTGCCGCTCAGTGTCCTCCTCATTCGCTCCGCTTGGCTCTGAACCCGGGGCTCAAACGCCTGGCACCCACCAAACCTGCCCCTTGTCTGGGTGCGGCTTCCAGAAAGCCCCCCTCGCATGCCCTGCCTTCTCCCCACGACGCGCCTAAGTTCGATTCCGTGCTGCTCGCGGACGGTTGGTGCCCGCTCGGCAAAACCCCGACGCACCTTCGAGTCAGAATTGCTCCCGGTGGTGTCCCCCGGGTCTTTTTAGCAGGTTCAACGCAGCCGGGGGATCCCCCGGGTTTCATTCGGGGCGTGCGCAGCTTGGAATGTTGCGCCAATGCTTGGGCAACCACGGCGTCGTAGGGCGCAGCCGCCAGCAAAGCCGGGGCGTGGTACTCGGGTAAACTCGGAAGCAACCCACCTACGTCAAGCTAACTAAGGAAGACCGAAAGTAGAAATCGAGGACTGCCACCTGGCTGGGCCGTGTTCGGAGCACTGTTTGGATTGAGAATCGTCCGTCGGGTTTGCAGCCGGTGTTACTGCACGGAAGAAAATGCACACTCTTAAAACCGGAGCACCTCGAACATGGTTACACATTCGTACATGTAGCCAGTTCCAGTGAACCATCGGGAGGCCACCTGCGAAACAGCTCGTCCGCCTTGATGGCGCAAGTTCATAAAGGTCTCCATAAACTTTCGGTAAACAACCAGGGTTTGTGTTAAGATTTTGAAGTCTTTGCAACTAATTGACGAATCTGCGAGCTCTCCTTGGCGCTCAACTAGAAAGGGCTGTCGACTGGGTTACTTTTAAGGTCATCTACATCCGTTTGCATCTGAAGAGCAACCCCCCAATCTCTGCCCGCCTGTAATCGAATTCTCGACGTTTCTGCTTCAAGCTCTTGGCCTCATCAGCTTTGAGTCGGTCACTCTCATGAGCTCCTGAAAGCCTGTGGTTCAAATCTCTACCCCTAGAACCCAAGATTTCGAAATTTTAAAACTCACCAGATTGCCTAGGCGTCACCAGTTGCGACCCTCCCGGCTGGTTGAGCACGTTCACACCCGTCGGTGTAGCTCGGGCCTCCAGCACCGCCGCTGATTGCACGACGTGGCCCAGCGCTGCCAGGTTACGAACGGGGGATTCATTTACAGGATTCAAAACCTGAAGAATCGGATTTTACATCGCTTTCCGCCTCAGCTTTCTAGAGTGAGACTCGACAACCAGAACAGGATGGTGCGACAAGGCCGTGCTGATTTGTCGAAACAAACAGAGGGGTCCAGGTGATGGAGCGATACCATATACGGCTGGATTTTTCTTGGCTGCTACACTCTCACAACCAGAAAGCGCTGGAGAAAACACTGACCTGCCAGTAAGGCCAACGAAGCGGACGGCGACACAACGGTCATTGACTGTTCTCACGGAGCCTGCACATAGGAGAGAATGGACTTCAAGCTTGGACGGCGTTCAACCAAAGCTTTACAAAAAACGCACGAACTTATAGAAAGCGTGTGTGGGGGAGCACGAAGGCCGTTTGCAAAGCGTCTTTTGGATCCAACGTGCGCAAATTCGCTCAGGTCCGAAGAGCGATTTCTTGCCATATGGCAGATCAACTGTGCCAGCTGTGCCCCAGTTGCAAGGGCACTTAACGTCATTTTCTGTAGTCATCGCTCTCAAGGGCCTCAATGTCGGATACCAACCTCGATCTGGCAATCAGCTTGCAAACATAAGCGTTTCCTCCGAACACCTCTCTTGCCATTATCCCGATCAAGTGCTACCCGAGTTTGACAACACAGAATTGTTTCCGTACGTACGACACAGCCCGCGGTCTTCGACAGTTCTTACCTTCTCTCTCCAGTTGGCGCGTCTGCTCCGGCCGGCCCCTCTTCCGTAGCTTCGTCAAATGTCCCCTCGGATCCTTTTCTCTCCGACCCCTCTCCGCTTCCCCGCTTTGGACCAGTTTTCTCACCCCTCTGTTCTTCGTTTCTTTTCCTCCTGATCCACTCTTGCCGCATCTGCGACATCTTCTTTTGGGCGACCAGCAGCTCCTCGGCCTCCGCAGCATGGTCGCCAGCTTTCAGCTTATTCCACCAGCTCACTATGAGCCCGTTGCTCACGAAGTAGGCTTGCTTGACCATGTCCTTGACCAGTCCCACCAGCTTCTCCGGCTGATGGGCTCTCAAATACATAGACGCCAACCTGAGAAGATACAAGAAATAGCGTCGTTTACTTCCGAGCCCGGACAAGCCCAATCGAAGTCACATGAAAGATCTGCACCGACTGTCATGAGAAGATGTGAGCGCCAAAGAGACGGCAAATCCCCAACAGTAATCACAAGTGCTGCTACTGATCCACTGCTTTCGTCACCTATGATTGGGAGCCTCGGTCTGGTCTGCTTCGCATACAAGCTCAACGGCAGTGGCCCGAACCGAAACACGCGCTCTCGAAAGCATCATCGCCAGAATGGAGTAAAGAAACTCGTTTCTCGATACATAGAGGCGACTGTGGGCCTTGAACGCCTAGCAAGAATGCCTAGCACATGGACACCGACCCACGTAAACGGAAGTCGAAGAGAGAAGGTGGCAGCATCGTACTCTTGAAAAGCTCGTTCTGGCAGGACATGAGGTTCCTGCCTTTTGCGCCGCACTGCGAAGTAGTCCGCCAACACACCCTCCGCTTCAGCGGCCCAATTCTTTTCCGCCAATCGTTCAATCACGTTTGCGAAGTCGACTGCATAGAAGTCGGCCTCTAACCCCTTGCCGACCAAGTACGCCTGCAGGGGTTCAGAATGTTGATAAGAAAAAGGGATGCTTCCGAACCCCCTGCCGACCCAAAAAATCCTGAAGGTGATAGATGACATCGAAGAAATCATCGGTCAAAAGTCGTTCGTTCTAGAGCGTACTTCCCATAAAGATGCATAATGTGGACGGGGGATGCACAAAAAGTGGTCGAGAAAGTCAAGCAGCAACAATTTCATAAGTGAACCTATGTATACTTGTTGATTGTGAACCTGATGCACGTGCAGGTCGAGAAAGGGAATGCAAGCATTAATCCAAGCATAGAGTGGCGAGAATGTTTTTGCGGACCTTTCTAGCAATCAGCTTCATGAATACGGAAAAAAATCCTTGAGGTGCAAGGAACGGGACAAGGGGCCGTTGTCTTTGGGACCAGGTTCAGGAAAAGTGGAGTTACGTGGAAGAATTGGTGCAGTTTGCGGTTCGCTTGGAAGTAGGAGGAGTGAATTCAAGCCTTAGCAAGCTCAATGCGGGCTCTCTCGCAAGCGACAGGACTCAAAGCAACAAGCAAGCAGGCATGGCCTTGATATGCCAACTAGAGCTTGACAAACGTGATCAGACGAAGTATAAAAGGGGCCATATCCAGCCACGGAGACATTGGCCTCTTTACACAGGAAGGAATCCCGCATCATTGATTGCTTTCTTGAGGCCTAAATGGGCAAATGTCAACGCTTACAATCGTGCTCGCAACAGCTAAAAGGCTGGAACTTGACTGAACAATTCGCTTCGCAACAAAGCAGCAGAGCACTCCATCCTCATGTTCTCCAGTACAAGGACAGGCCAAAGCACAAGGAGTCAAAGCCTCTAATACTCCAAGCCCAGACATTAGGATACAACATTTCAAAGGCTTGCCTGGTACATTGCCTTGGTCAGCCTGCGATTACTGTAGCACCTCTTGATAAGCAGCGCTTGCACTGCCAGGCTGTCATGGTGGGATCCCTTGATTGCTTCTAGTGCTTTATAGGCTGTGAGCGCTGTCTCTGGCTCCTTCACTGTTCTCAAGAAGAAGCGCAATGCCCCATCTAGTTGGACGCCTAGCCGCTCTTGTTGATCTGCCAACATCTGAGCTTCCGCTTGAAGTCCAGAATCAATAAGCACCCTTAATAGACTAATGAAACTAACAATGGGTAGTGGCGGGGCTCGTTCTTGTAGATCCAGCATCTCACGGACAATCTCCCGCGCCTCATTCGCCCGGCCCAGCTCAACAAGTGCACGGACTAGTTTCTTTTTTTGATCCAAAGGATACCTATATTTCAAACTTAGAAACTCCTCAACTGTAATACCAGAGGTCAAAAGGGCTCCCACTGTGGGCCACTCGATTGTCAGCCCCGTCTTTTCGACCAAACTCTTATAGAGTGCCCAGACTTCGTCTCGCGAGCGGCCTTGCGCATGCATTGCCTTGATTACTAGGTTCGCACTATTTGAAGATGTCGACCAACCGTTTGCTTGCACTTCCTCGTACATCTTAAGGACTTGTTCAAACATGTTGGCCCGGAGACAGGCAGCGAGGAAGATGGGGATGAGCCGTTTATTCCTTTCAGCGCGGGAGCGGTACCTGAGTGGAAGACAAGATGCAAAAGGCGATCCTTAACTGAGTGCTGACTTTCATTCCATTCATATAAAAATCCTACCAGGGGACGCACCCCGGTACAGAGCATTGAGATTTCTGGAAGGGCAGTAGACTATTTAGAATCGTTGTATAGAGAGGCCATTCAGTAAAGCTGGTGAGAGAATCAAAGGAACCCTTGAGCAATTCCAAATTTACAATCAGGTTCTACAGACTTAGGAGCATGGCTTGTTGAAAGCGACTCATTACATTTGAAGTAAGCGATTCCAGCAGCTTTTCTGTTAAGGTCGTGATTGCAAGAACCATTAGTGCCAAATTGCAAGCTACTTGAGGCAACACCTGAGCAAAAACACTAGGTGAGGATGCAGATAGACTCGCAAGAGTGAAGTTGCAAAACATAGTTGTGTAGATGTCTCGACTACTCTTCGTCGTACCTGTCCCACAGCCTGGAGATTGCATCCGTGTATCTCGCCGCTCGGAGGGCCTGCAGAACTGGACTAAACAACATATCCACAGAATTGCTCGAGTCCTGAGGTTGCTTTGAGAGCCACCAGTCAAGTACATTTAGAGCCCGCTGTGCATCCTCTGTGCTGCACCGGTATGTGGTTTCTCCCAAGTTAACCCTCTGTTTGGCGCTCTTGTCCCTCCTAGAGTTTTCCAGCGGGTCTGAGAGTTGGTACAGGGCACTAGCCAGTGATCTGACACCAAACGGTCGTCCACCTATTGTTCCGTTCGGCAGCCTCTCATCCAGATCCGCGTCCGGGGGCCACTCTCTCAAGCTCCGCAAGAGCTCCCCCCTGAGCACTTTCTCCTCTCTCCATTCAGACGGCCTCCAAAGGGAATTGTCCTCATTGTTTTGCCCACTCGCCCTTCTTAGCTTCTCTGCCCCTTGTTCTTTGAGGTCTTCTGCGTCCTCTTTTTCCGCCGCTGCTATAGCGCTTGCCCCGAAGGTGCGGGAGTGCCCGCCGGAAATGTCTCCAGGAGACCTCACGAATCTGATGGCAGACTTTGCACATGCTGGCAGGACTAAGTAGGAAAAACGAGCAACCCCCCAGCTGAACGGCTGGTGGCAATTCCCCAATGCATGTAGTGCGCCAGTGCCATTGGCCTCTGCCTCCAACATGCGCTTTGTGTCGAGGAAAGCGATGCAAGCCGGTCTACAGGCCTGCAAGACCACCCTGCTTAGCCCAATGGAGCGGGCACCCAAATTTAGCGCCATGCTTTGTCCAAGACAGTCGACATCCGCCAGGAAGCTACAGGCCTCATCCAAGTTCTCGAGAAGAATGCAACCTCACAGATTGCTATATAGTATACCTAGGGTCCTATGTTTTCAAAGTTTTCTCGAGCATCACGAGCAAGCAGCCTCTTTGGATCGACGGCAATGCACGGTAGGATGAGTACTACCGGTCGTTGCTGGCATGGAGTCGAACTCAATTAGGGGAAGGTCATTTTGAATTGGTAACCCCCCCCTATTTATTTGCGAGGGGGGGAGCCTGGGGCTTGAAGCCCGCCCTGGGGTCCCCATGGGGTAGGGGCCTTCCCCCCCTTTCACAGCGAGCGTGCCTAATGGGGGGGGGACCCATTGAGTCTGGTCTTCAGGCAGCCCAAGGGCGGGGGACAGGTCGCCAGACTTTAGTTTTCATGTACAAATCTGGGTTTTGGAAGCCAAATCACGCTTGAATCGGCGATCTTGCCTCGAATTTCTTAAAAATCGGCATGAATTTCACCCAGAATACCCACATCTTGACCGAATATGGAGAAAATCCGACTGAAACCAACTCTCTCTCATGCCCGCATGGCAAAAAACTCCTCCTTTTTAAAATTTCTGGTAGAAAAGAAGGGGGGGGTACCCTGGGCCCTGATCGACAAAATTTAAAGGGGGGGGGGGGGCAGAGGGCTCCCAAAAATTCCGGCTGTAGGTATGGGGGGAGTAGTAAGTACCAAGGGCTCTTGGCGAAAACCCCTCACAAATAAATAGGGGGGGTACGCTTTCAAAGTGACCTTCCCCTTAGAGGAGAACTAAGTTCGCCCGGGGGATGTTGCCTTGCCTCGATCAAGAGGACCGGCGGCCTCCCGGCAGTAATAGAATTTTACGGTGACGCACATGCCGGGCCCGCCCGGCCCGGCGCGTCCACATGGCTCCATGGCGGCATAATGCAGCTCAGCTAGTGGCATTTCAATGGAGATTCTCTCAAAGCTGGTCTCATGCAGTTGGATAGGTTCATGAAGGTGCTCAATGAACGCCGTCATGCGCTCAACATGCATGTCATAACTCTGCGACGTTGTACCGAGCATGTCAGAGCTCTAGAATATTAGTAGAGTGAGAGCAATAATAGCAAGCTTGAGCAAGTTACCATCAGAGTTATACAATCTTCGGTGTACATGTATAAGTAGAATCGGGGAATTGGGTCGCAATGACGGCCGCAAGCTCGAGTCCGTACCATACCCGCGAGACGTTTGTACCAATGAATCCATCTGCCTGCACGAGGTTTGGAATCTTTCGAAGCTATCACTGTGTCCAATCACGTGCACTGGCATTAGGCAATGGATGTCCAAGGCATGTTGCTGGCATGTCGCAAGCATTCAAGGAGATCTGGAGGTCCACTTCATTTGAGCTCGCTAACTTGGCTTTATTGACTCAACCAACCAATGGCAATGGATGCTACATCTACAAAATTCGGGTTTCTTCATCGTCCCATGCACATACACCATGAAATCGATGCATATACAAGTCGAAACGAGTCAAAAAAGCCGTTCGAACCTTATATTGTGTTGCAAATATCCATGTTACAGACGGAGGCGGACCGCATGCTCGGAAACAGGGCGCAACCGATTGCTAGTATGTTCTTGCCTCTTGGGATACTCCTGCAAAGAGGAGATCTTCTAAAAATTTGCAACGGGCTGAAGGCCCAATTTTTGACTTACCGCATCTTGAAAGTGCGGTGTCAGGCCTGCCAATTCCCCTTCGAATGACAGAAAGGAGCGAAGTGATATTTGAAGAAATAGGAAAACAGAAACGATTCAACCTTTAGCCGTTCAACCGGATGCAATGCCGGAGTAGTTGCCCAATGATACAAGTAGTGACCAGACTGATGTTCGTTGAGCCGGTTGACGCGGATTGTGCGATGCCCAACTAAGCGGAGAAAGGATTCCAGCGAAGGTAGTCGAACAACATTTGATTTCGCCGACCATGCGGTACCGACTTTGTTGGTATCGAAGGAAGTGCCTGTTACTGTTTCTAGACGCAATCTATATCCAGATCAAACACACAACGTGTGGCACAGGTTGAGAATACTCCGCAAGTACAAAAGAAAACAAATTGCGGTTGTCGCCTGCATTGACAGTGGTCTGACGAAACAACGGACCGAAAAAAGAACGAAGCATAGAACGTGGAAACAATGAAGAGAAGGCTTCAATACGCACCAACGAGCTTCGTGGCGGGGATGAGTGTCCATTCCTCGCACATCGCCGAACCAAAAGCTATATTCAACCACGGCCTCCAGTAGTCTTGCCAGGCGAGCCCACAAGCTTTGAAGGCAGCGACACCTCGCAAGCAGTACCTGCAAGTAGGAATCCATGGATTGTCCAAAGTTTCTGCTTACCGTTCGGATACCTGCTTGGCACAGATTAGGGTCAACAAGCCCCCCGTAAGTTCCAATCCCGGCTCCGTTGCAGCCTCCGCTTTCAGATCCAATCAAATACCGTTCAAAAGATACGGCTATCCTCCTCACCCCTGAAGAAGTTTGACTGCAGGAAGGGACAGGTAGGTCGCACTGACACAAAGAACTCAAAGGCGACTCAATGAGGGTTTCCAGAGTGGATAGTCATATGCTTGTTTCAACTGGAACGTCCCTAGTTACGAGCCACGAAACAGTGGTGATCAGATGCAGGAGAAACCGGCAACTCAGCTGAAAGTGAGTCTAACGATATCCCCTCCCTTTCTCCGCGCAGATTGTTCTCCAGTCCGCCATCTCCCCGTCGCCAAAGTTTGCACGTTATAAGCGACTGCCCTCAGTGTAGCTTACGGAAGGCATCTCAGAGTGAACGATGCAAGCATCCATGGTCGCCCCGCTCGCAGCATGAATGAAAGAGGCACGCCGGAAGAGGGAGCGCCGTCGCATGGTGGAGCACGACATAGTTTTCGGTCTCATATACTATAAGGGCCATGTATCATTGAGAAATATGACACAGAATATGTTAACCAAGAAAATTCACCCGTTCTACACCCGTACCCACTCTAAACCTTCTAACGAATCTTACCCGTCATATGAAGGGGCCTCGTTCATGAGTCGCGGAACGCATGGGTTCAAAAACTCTGAGAACGAGACCCGGAGACAGCAACGCGCACCTGGTACGGCATGAGGCAAAGAGGCTGCCACGTGGCCCTGACCGAGAAGGGGTCCGATGAGCTGGGTGGTGGCACGGGGCCACCAACAGCTCCACCGCTAGCGCCGCATCCAAGGGGTCCCTAGCCGCGTGACCTGCGCACGACACACTAGCCGTTAGCACGAGCACTGTGCGTGAGATAAAAGTATCGGGTGCTTTGCAGTCCAAGCGCGTGCTGGCCGGCTGGGCTTAGTGGGGACAAGCGGCTACTCAACGTGAATTGTTGGTCCAGCGTCCTGCTGGCCGTATAGTCGAGGGGTACCACGACATAGTCCCCCAAGGACATGCGCACAGCCCCCTAACCAGCACTGGGAGGCGCGGGAGAGGAACTCGGCAAGAGGAAGCAATGGGGCCCGCATCATGGCGCATGACAAGAAAGGTGTCGGAGCCGACACGCATTGATGGCCGTCCAGCGCCAGGGTGAGGCGCCGCCATCCAGCCAGGTGCAAACAAGACGAGAGTCCTGAGAGAACGAGACGAGGATTGAGGCATACTGTACAATTTAAACTGCTGAAGCATCGAGAGCATTCGTAGTCGGGGTCGCCGCCTTGTACAGCACGGCGCGGGGCAGGCAGTACGACACGCGGCGTCACGGGCACGCCGCTCATAAGGAACATCGACGTCGCTCGCGTGCTGCTCCAGCGCGCCGCGCACTAACTCCAGCTCGGCAGAGGGCTCGCCCCCCCTCCACGTGGCCCGTCATGGGGAAGCTCAGCCGCAGACCGGTGGCATGCGCCCACGGAAAGTAGCGCGCAGAGCGGCTGCCATCGCCTCCGCTTGAGACGGACCCCCCGGCGCCAGGTACTTAACGTGCGTGAACATGGACTGGCACATCCGTAAAGAAAAAAGACACCACGCCGCTGCGAGGGGGAGAAACAAACAGACGGGCAGGCCTAAGAGCAGCGGAAACGCGTCCACTGTGTGGGGGGCAGTGCACGGCCAGGCCTACCCTGCCCCTCCTACAGCTAAGAGGGCGATCCCTTGTCTATGGACGAACTTTAAGTCCCTGACGCCCCATGCGAGCAGGGTGCGTGTGTTTCCAAAAGCTCAAATCCGCGCCAGTTATGTCTAAAGTGCCGAGTGCGCTTACCGAGATGAGCATACAAGAAGCGACGTCCGGCAGAGACCAGCTTGCCATTGTTGAAAGAAGAGCTCGGGGCAGTGGGCGCAGAACGGCCAAATGTTCAATCAAATTGTTTCTAGTCACAATCACCCGGAACTCAATGGAGAATTGATGAGCTGACCGAAAGGCTTTGGTGGGGCTAAATTGGAAAGTTACGGACCTGCAGCTTGCATTCGGGCATGCTGTTGACGGAGAGCCTTATAATGGTTTAGGGTTTACCTTCACGCTCTTGACCAATTTGGTGAGCGACTTCTCACGGCAACTTACCAAAAGTCCCCCGCTCATACTTGCCTTATTCTTCAAGAGCAATCCGCAGGTCAAACTCTAAGCCAACAAGAGCGTCCTGATCATAAGATCCGCAAGGAGTACAGGTTCCGTACCTCTTGCGGAGTAAGGCGGGCCAGGTTCAGACTAGCCTAGCAGCCGCTGGCGTAGCAACAGAGTAAGGCCCACTACCGGGCCTGTCGGCCGGAATGGGTGTTGCGCCACGCGTCACGCACGGCCCCAGCGCGCGAGCCGCCGACCGATTTCTTCCTACAGCTGCAGGGCAGGGAGCGCCCTCCGGTATGACCGGCTGCGAGGAGACTGGAAGGAGGCGATTGGAAAGCGCTCGTGCAAGTGAGCCAAACGCTAAAGCGAGACTGAGCGGTTGCGGGGGCGGTTGCAGTGTGCGGCTGCGTGGCTTTCCGGCCTTCTCCTCGCGGCTGTTAAGAACGTCATTCCGCACTAGCTTGTAACAGCAATGAAGAAAGCTTATCAGGCGATCCTTTAAGACGCGAAACCTGCTCGCCGAAATTGAGGGTCCTTGAAGATATTACTGGCGAGACTTGAGGCATTGAGCGAGGTCGATTCTCGTTGCAGAGCTCCAAAACACCTTGTCATAAATAACCGTGACCAATTTGAAATGCAACCTGTAAGACGAACAGAATGGATACTTTGACGAGTTTTGGGTTCCGGAGTAGACAAGCATCAGAAGCCCTGGATTGCTGTGAATAATAACTGACTTGGACAAGTCTTGAGACCAGTGCCCTTTGTTTGACATGTAAGACAGCGAAGCATGGTCTGACAGACAGGAATGGACATCACTTGGTCCACTGATTGGTGCGAAATTAACAATTGGTCGCTTGCCCTCGCTTACCTGCTAACGTTTCACGACGATAAAGCGCCAGAGGAACCGCTAAACTTCCAGTAAGCCACCGAAGCGAGGCAGCACAACGGTCATCGACTGTCTTCATAGAGCCTGCAGCACAAAAGAAGCGGACTTCTGATCTTTGACGCATCAAACGAAACATTTACAGAGCGCGATGAACTTTTGGAATGCGGGTGCAGAGAGGCTGGAAGGCCGTCTTCGAAGCGACTTTTGGATCTGGGATGCCGAAAAGAACAGTTTCAAAGTTCGACGTCTGCTGTGTGGCGGACAAGCTGTACCTTCCGCCTTCTCAGCCTTCTCAATCGTTTGTAGAGCAAATGATACCAAGGAAACACCAGAAGAGGTCCCAACAACCTTTGTTGTAGTCATTGAAGCTAAAGCCTCATATGATTACGAGTAGGATTGGCACTCAGGCTCCAGACGTTATGCCTCTTTTAACATCTCTCTTTCCTCCTTCACGACAAAATGCTCTCCAAGTTTGACGCCGAAGAAAGTGTCATTTCGTCCATGCCACCATCTTCTCGCAACGCTCACCTTCTTTCCCTAGTTGGCACGTCTGCTCCGGCCGGCCCCTCCTCCATAGTTTCCTCAGAGTTCCCGTTGATTTTTGCTTTCTCCACCCCCCCTTCGCTTCCCCGCGTTCCTTCGGCTTTACACCTCCGGTCTTCGTTCCTTATCATTCTTGCCGCATTCGAGACATCTCAATCCGGGCGACCCGCATCTCTTCCGCCTCTGCTGTGTGGTCGCCGGCTTTCAGCTGCTCCTCCCAGCTCATCTAGAGCCCGTCTCTAACATTGCACTCTCGTCCAGATGAGCAGGTCCTTGACCAATCCCACCAGCCTTTTGGGCTGTTGGGCCCTCACGTACATAGTCGCCAATCTGACAGGGAACAAGGCATGGGGTACTAAGTCTACTTGCCCCACTGACAAAATGAGGTGGAAGAAGCGGTAAGTTACGGTTCCGCTAACGCATGGACTATAACAATCAACTAGAGCCGCGACAAAGACAAGTGGGTTTGGAGACGATCAATCACTTCTTTCGATCGGCTTTGAGTAGGACGCTCGACTTGGGTTAGCTAAGGCGTACACACATGAGCTCAACGACAACAGCGGGCCGGAAACAATAGAAGAAACGAGCTTTTTCATGGCATCTCTCTGAGCAATAAAAACATTCTCTAATACCCTAGCCTTCAGCGCCAAGCGAAATCAAACACACCGATCACGCCCCAACTAGGACATCTATAGTTCGTGAGAGACAGCATCGCACTCTTGGAGAGCCACAACCAGCCTAGGCTTAGCCGGCCCGGCCAAGCGCGACCGTAGGATGAATGATCTGACTCCGCACGGGCGATCGTGGCCGTCGGTCCCAATCATATAATGAATTTTGGGAAAAACGATAGACCCAATCTCAAGAAGGAAGACGGACGCTGGTTCAGGGCGCTTCGGAGGAGCTATTTTGAATTCCATTTTTTGGCGGAAGAGGTCGTTGCGGCGCCCGTCCACCAACAGATTGGATTCTGAAAAGGTGCAAGCGAAGCAAGCACCGACCGATCAGAGTGCACAGCAAGTTTCAACCGCTGGATGCTGGTATTTAGGGCGCCAAGTGATGCAAAGCGTCGGAGCTGGCTGACCAGGGGGTATGGCCAGCACATCAGTCTTTTGCATGGTCCTCCGCGAGCAATTTTTACTAGTGGCTGAGAAGCGAGCCTTATGTTCTTGACGATAGGGTCTAAACTTTCACCGCACAGTTTGTTCAGATTCGAAGGGGAGAGGCGGCCAGCTCAGAGCAGGTGCGTGGCATTGGGGTGAAATTGACTACTTTGAGATGCATCATTCTCTGCTTTGCTTGCAGCAGCATCTAAGATTATCTGATGGATGCTTCTGGATGCTTTTGAATGCTCTGCCTAGGATCTTCTTGCCCTGAAGTATCACACACACCTTGCCATTTCAAACATCTGGGTTCCCTGTTCTTTGTGGAGCCCTCCAGCATTGGCTTTCAGAGCTCGAAAGCAGAGCCTCATCTTGCAAGAAGGGTTGCTGGCTTGTCAGGAGCACACCGCAAGGAATGATTCTGTGAATATGTTCTTACGAGTTTCGTGTGTTGTATGCAGGTGCTGACTGCTCTGCTGGCTGCTCTGTAGTTTCTGCATGGCGGGTGGGGAGAGAGAGCGCAAAGGCAAGAGGAAGGAGCAAAGGTTTAGTGATCGCCCCCGTCCAAAAAGAACCAAGGCTGAATTGAAAGAGCTTGCTGAGCGTCGAGAAGGCTTTTATCTTACTGCAAAAGCAGGAACTACCTTCAGTTCCTGTCTAAGGGATGGGCACAAGTTGGTCGGAGATCTGAAGGAATGTCCAAAGTGCCATGCCCAGTATGCCAGAGCCCATCTCTCTGAAGCCCTGGGGCCCCAGCAAGAATGCTTGCATCTTTGATGCAAGAAACATTGCAGCTTTCTGGCGGCGCAAGATTTCCTGGAGGTTGAATAACGCCAGCCACTCGGGCGTGCTCTGGGTTATGCAGCCGTTTGTTCCTCTGGCAGCTTTCAAAGCCACCTTCTCTGAGGACTGGGATGAGCTTGCTGTCAAAACAGCAACAGTCACAACGCATGTGAAGCTTTTGGAGACAACCAGAGAAGTAGAGGAGTTCTGCGCTTTCAACCTTGTCAATGAGAAGAGGGGCGCCGGCCCGTGCAAGCTGTTGAGCACTGGCGAGCTTCTAATTGTGGTGCCGCCAATTGAGGTCACGCATACCTACAGTAAAGCAGCCGGCGCAAGGGTTCATTTTCTGTATGGATGGGTAAAAATGACAATCGTTGGGAACATCAGCAAGACAGAGGGCATGCTCGAACCAGCACAAGGTTGGCGCTTTGTTGAGTGGTGGATCAGGGACAAAGCGTTTGACATGCTTTCTGATCTGGAAATGGCAGTCTCGGAAGAGATGGTGGCGGCCTCTGAAGCCAAGCTCAGGAGCGAGTTCCCAAGTGACCAGGCATTTGACATGGCTAGGGTACACAGAAGCATGGTGGCTGAGCACTATGTGATGCCGCGCCCTCGGACCAAAGAGCAGGTGGTCAGAATGCGCAAGAAGGCTGCTGAGATGCAGGCGGAGGGTTTGGAGGACGGCTTCCATGATGTGCCAATGGCAGAGGACGAAGCAGGTAAGCCTTTCTCATTGCATGCATATGTAGGTTCAGTACTCAAGGGTTTTGACTCTTCGAATGTTGCAAGCAATCATCCTCTCTGCAAATCTTATTCAGCATTCTTTGTGTCACATTGTTTTATGTTCAACTCGTTCTCTACATCTAGCTTTCGCTACATCTTGCTACCTGTCCTGTCAACTGCGACTGTCAACTGCGAAAGTACCCTGATTAATACAACACTTTTTATATGGGGCGCGCAGATGCTGGAATTACGCGGCCCCCGGTGGTCCTTCCTCTACCTCTGCCACCCCTGCCACCCCTGGCCCTCCCCCTCTCCCGTCCTGCCGCCGCTGCTGGTGCCCCCCCTTCGCCCCCAACTGCCAGGCGGACTCCTCCGCCGGAGCCTCTGATGAGTTCACCTCCCGCTATAGCTGGCGCTGCGCTCCCCCCCTCAGTCGCAGCCCCCGCCCCAGGCACGACCCCTTCAGCGCCTGGCACCGTCGCAGGCCCGAGTTGGACGCCAGACGTGTTTGAGGGCCTGATGATGGAGGCGCTGGCTGCGGCGCGCTCTCCACTTGGGTCATTGTCTGACTCCCCCTCTTCTTCCTCGCCGGTGAGCTTTCCAACTATGTTCTTGTAGCCCAGGAAAACTCGAGTGATTTCTGGTCCCAACTTTGCCAGCTTGTTATTGATCTGCGCCTGGCTCCTACTCACCAGCTGCCCCCGCCTCCGAGCCCGCTCGATTGTTTGCTCCGCCGCTTTGCTTCCGTCCCCCAAATAGCGCCTCTCGTTTCTGCTGACGGGCACAGTGACCGTCTGCGCAAGAGCAATTCGCTCTCGCCCCTTTGCCATCACCTGCAGGTTGCGACCCTTTTGTTGCTTCTCGTCCACCAACCGTCGATTGGTGAATAACAGCATGTCTGTTTTCCCCTCCTTCAGCTTGGCCTCCACAAACTGCTGTGACATGTCGGAGATGTCGACCGGGAACCGCTGCACCATCTCAGGTACGTGGCTCATTGCCTGGTGCATATAGAGCGTTGCTCTATCTGTCCCAAGCTCCGCGGTGTAGCTCTCGACGTACGCCACTGCTTTGTCTTGCACAACAATGCTCTTGCCCAGTCGCTCCTCCGCATCCTCAGGGTTGGTGAGGGGTTTCAGCAGCTCGGTGTAAAAGCTCGCCAGGTTGTCCCAAATCTTCCTGGCAGCGGCGCGCTTGGCGTCGTCCAGGATGGCGATGTCAAGGAAGGTGTTGTATGCGTCTGGGTGCAACAGCACCCTTGCTTCCCTGCAGAATGTGACAAGGGTTTTGATTAGAATATTTCATTTGTTTGCAGGAAGGATTATTGGTCAGAAGCAAGCAAAGAGCCAAGAGGGCGTGACAGCAGTAGGCATAAGACCTCAAGACCAGCAGAGCATACTTAGAGTCAGAGCTACAAGAGTCAGTGCAGTACCTGGTAAAACAGCATGAGCTCAGGATGCCTCAGGTTGACTTAAGAGTTGCGCAGGTTGACTTAAGAGTTGCGCACGCAGGCTGATCCTCGATCATTCCCAAAGTTCAAGGCCGGGTTGATTGCACTTGCTCGTCTCATTTGAGTCGAGCTTGTCCTTGGTTTAATTCCAAGGCCGGTCAGAAGCAGAGCCAATTGCGCGGGGTGGTTCAGCTCTGGACGCTCCCAGGAGGGGCCTGTGCAAGCAGAATTATGTTGCATAAGAAGTCAACATGAAGGTGAGACACCGCCTCTTGAGCCACTCTACTTACCTGCCAATGAAGTTGATGTCTTGAGTGTCCTTCTTTTTGTCGCCGCTGGTCTTTCGCTGCTCCAGCTTTTTGCACCCAAGGTGGAGGGCTTTGATCAAGGCGTTGACAGCCTCAGTCTTTTCGGGGGTGTTGAGGTTCTCAGCCACGGTCCGGAGAAAGGTGATGGCCATCAGTCGTAGTAGAAGGTGTAGGATGCAAATCACGTAGGCCGTGATGGGGAACTTGAAGAGTGGCGGTGTGCCAAACCTCATGCCAGCGTGCGATTGCTGGAAGTTTTTGACCTGTTGTTTGGTTTCAGGGGCTTTGGAGTTTTTGACCGCGTCTTGGTCGGGGAAGGGTTCGTGATAGTAGGGGCAGTCGACGTCTGGTCCGGTTGTCCATGGGCGGTGTGTCGCCGCGGCCATACTTTCCGTCGTGCAGGGTTTCGCAGGTAGGGGTACTTTCCAGCCCTCGGCGTTCAGGCACGCCTTCCCGTAGTTGTCTTTGTGCTGCTCACAGAAGCAGCACCCCGTGAGTGCTGAGGCTCCAGAGTGGCCGAGGAGCTCGCACATGAGGACGTAATCTGCCCCCAGGGTCTGGTCCACGTCGTAGGCTGTGTTGTCAATCTGCATCCCCCCGTACGCCAGGTCATCCATGTGCTCTAGGAAGGGTTGCAGGTACTCTTGGTAGGTCGAGTACTTGTCTTTCCCCTCGAAGATTAGGGCGACCCGCATGTCTTTGGGGGAATGGGTTACGACCCTCTGGTTTCCGAGGAGCTTAAACCCCCATATGCTATGCGACTGGCCCCTTATCCATCCGGCAGCGTCACCCCCCCAATGCAACCACAACTTGTCCTTAGCCAGTTGCGCGCGGCTCTGCAGGTACCCCTTTTCCCGGTCCTGCTTGACGGTTTCCTCGATGAGCTGCTTGAGATCTGCCCAGCACGCCGTGCCATCCTTGTTTTGGAGGAGGGGGATGATGGCGTGGAGGGCTTCCCGGTGGTCGTTGACACGGTTTTTGGACTTCAAGAGAGGTAGGAAAATCTTGCTCCCCTTCCCCATGATCTCCAGGGGGATCCACTCCTTGAGGCGCGGATCGTAGGTTTTGCCGAGCAGGTTAATGAGGGCCTGCCACTTCCCCCCATGACCGACCTTGCAGTGAATCTGCACAGCTAGACACTGGTTGAGCGTCCAAGCCTCTTCAATGGCCTTAACCACTGCGCGCTGATGGGGATGCAGCCAGACAGGGTGCAGGCGGCACAGCTTCTCAAAGGCTGCTTTACTGTTTACAGCGTCTGTTGTAATGAGCTGATACTCTTTGCGGTGGCGGATATAATTCTGGTAGAGGGCGTTTTGACGGGTCTCCAGGCTGACAAAACCGTCGCGTAACAGGCTTTCAACCCTTTTAGCCATCTTTACCAATGTAGGCTTACTGTTACCGCCCTGCATTCTCCTCTCCTTTACAGCAGCAACCAGGATGCTTGGGCTCTGCTTGCGCAACTGATTGCGGTGCTGAACTCGGAGGGCTTGACTCTGCATGTGTTGCTGTGTCAGCCTCTTGTGTAGATTTTCAAGCTGCTCGGCGTGCTCTGCTCTCATGGACGCAATCTGTGCCTGTGCAGCTGTAACATATGCATCGTATCTCTGCTGAACCACGTCGGCTTCCCTGCTCAAACGCTCTGTAACTGATCGGACAGCAAGCGTCCTTTTAGGAGGTGGGGCAGCAAATCTACCCCCTGCTCG